CATGTCTGTCAGGAATAGCAGTTGGGTGTTAAATAAAGAATAAAACTTTGTATTAAGATGCAATCATTACACCTAAATAATTTAATCCGAGATAACAGCAATTAAGCTAATATTCATTTCTTTAAAATAAAATGAAATCAATACATCAACACAGGTCTTGAACCAAAAAGTAAAACTTAATTATATGTTTACTAAAACCTACTGGGACAAAGTCGCTAATATATTCACAAGTTTCACTAATGGCTTAATTTTTATTTTATTTCCAAAGCAACAAAATACAACATTAACGCCTAGGTATTGAAATATAGACATTATTTCTTTAAAAATGCTTTAATCTGCTCTCCTAAAATACTTTTAAACTGCTGAACAATAAATTGTCTTAACTACGCGTTGTATATCTTTGGTAATTCAACTTTTGTCAAGTTTTCTTTGTTTGTTTACGTTTTAATTGCTTTAATTAAATTTTATTACAAGTTTTAATTGAGTCATTCAAATATCTTTGTTTTTTCAATAAAAGTTTATGAACTTTTTTTATAGGTACCTACTCATATTATAATATTTTAATTTTATTTGATGAATTCATAAATGTGATATAAACCGAATCGATTTTCCAAGCAAAACTAAATCCATTGTGGAATTGTGAAATTGTCGTGTTTCCAAATAATTGCAAATATTCATTTACGAGTTTGTGAAAAACACAAATACTCCCACGCAAATTGATTTGTTTAATCAAGTTTCATTCCATTGTTTTAATCACTATTTGTATTGCAACAAATATAATTATAAAATGGAGTAGAATAATTTGATTGAACGGAAATAATATGATTGTATTCGTTTAGTTTACAATATTTGATTATTTGATGGTTTTTATTAGGCACATTTGCTATTTCATGCTTGATTTATTGGAAAACGTATGCGTTATCTCGGTCCATGAATGTAAAACGCAGAAAGTGGGACAGAAGAGTTGGAAACTGAAAGTTCGAAAAATGTTTGCTGCGAAACATGAAAAATGCATTGAAAATGGTAAATATGCCTCAAGGAGCAAACAAAAAGAAAGGCTATTTGGTGTACCGCCTTCGAAATACCGGAAGAATGAGTATTTCTATTGAGATCACCAAAAGCATGCATTGTAAATGTAATGGAAAAAATAAAACATAAAAATTAAGTAAAAATTCTTGAATATTTGCTACATTTTGTTCAGAATATTGAAGAACATTAATATTGATTTGACATACTCGTTGATATATTTTGTTCTTGGTTTGCGCACACAATATAATGAAAAACATAGCTAAAGCTGACCTTTGACTCACTCCACAGCTGAAAGCTTTCACGCTTTACAGATACCTGAATCTACTCGTGTGTTAGTTTGCGTGGGTTTGGCGCAGGTGCCTGAAACGTGAACCGGACCTGCCGGACCGTGAACGCACGAGTGAAACATCATTTCCTGCCTGATGGTTGGACACCCAAAGCGTTCCCTGATGCACCCCGGGTGCATCCCAGATTTGATTTCAATGCAAGAGCAAAAAATATATAGAAAAAAGTAATGTGTGCTTCAAAAGTAACAAAATTAAAGTTAAACTAAAGTTATTTTTTTGACATTAATGAAATCATCTCGAAATATAAAATTCCTGACTTTAACATTTATCATCATTAAAAAGAAGAATTTTTTATTGCCAATAATTTATATTCTGTTGAAATAACTGTTTAGGCGTGGGTGTGAATCAAATATACTGCGTGTCAGCGTTTTATTTCGAGCGACATTAGAACATACCCAAGTTAAATTTCGAATATTTTCCGAATTTCAGTTTTCATGCAAAGAAGGTGAAGAAAAACATTTTGCAAAGGCAGATATATTTCATAAGCGTTTCTTGTCGCTGGAGGTAATACAATTTTCCGGCTTTACATATGCGTATATCGAATTTAAATATTAAATATTCTTGCTAAACCATGAACATTTAATATGAGATCTGTTGGAAATGTTCTTGGGGATCATTTTGTTTTTCCATGTAATGTAATGTAAGAATAATAAAGACACAATTATTATTATTCAAAAATCAAGAATTGTTTACGTACAGTTACCTCTTAATTTTTTTTGTCAAGATTTAGTTATAAAACGATTCTGAAATGTTTTGATAAAAATAAAAAAAATTGTCAAGATTCAATTATAAAATCATTCTAATTTTTTTGATAAAAAATTGTTTTTGTTTTATTGTTGATGAATTTCAGAACTATATTACCGTGTAAAAATAAATACAAAATATATAAACATTTTCTAACTAAACAATTTAAATTGAATTTTCTAGGGCGTAATGAAATTTAAAACAGATTAAACTAATCCGTATAGGATGCAACTTCGCCAAAAGGAAGTTCGGGAACAAAAGGCTGTCAAATATCAAAAGCGCTAAATAGGAAAGGTTAAATTAATTTTCGTGATTAAGATTATATCTCCTGATGCGTGAAAGAAGTAATGCAAAGTTTCGCATGAAATTCGGCCGGAACTATGTCCGAAACGAAAATTAAGATGATTTTTACAAACCAATCCTTCTGTTTTCGGATTAATAGTAGGTAATTAAATTGCCATTTATATTATAACATTAATTAAATTTTTCTCCGTGACTTTGCATGCGTAGTTTTTAATAAAAATGGTCGCATATTATTAATTCATTTTTGTTCATGGTATGCGCCATATTTCTGATTATAACTTTCAGTTATTACCTCGAAATTGATCAAAGTGACTCTGTCAATTTATTTTATTCCTTTTAGAATAAATACTGGTATTTTTTAATAAAAATTGTCGTATGTACTTTGTAACACCTTTGAAAGTATGTATATGTACAAAATTTTATGATGACCGGTTGACTTGTTTCCACGTGAAAGCGCAACATACAAACAAACAAACAAACAAATAAATAAACACACAAACAAATTAACTTTCGCGTTTTGATTTTGGTTTTAATTGTAAAAAATAACCTGCGGTCGGACGCTTGTATAATTTATAGAATAATATGACATTAATCTAAAAAAAATATATTTATATTTATTAAGTATCAATTAAATATCTGCGATACTTTTATTTTTTACTAATTTCTTTTGACGATAACTGTAAAACATTAACACGATAATATTTTGCATTAAAATTTGAACCAGTTATCAACTTAAATCCCGCAGGATTTTATAAAATTATTTCGTAATTTACTCAAGAGCACTTTGCGAATGTGAAACTTTTACATGAACAAATTTTAGATTGCACGTCCAATTACAAAACCATAATAATAACATAAAATAATTTAAATTCAAAAAACACAAATTTTCATTTTTAATTGTCTTTCTTCCTTGTTTAAAATTCCGCCTGAACGCAATAAAGGCACAAAGAAAAAAGTACTGCATAAAAAAGAGAAAACAAAGACTTGAAAGGCTATCAAAAGAAAAAAACATCTACCTCAACTTCGGTTGCAGCAACCTAATAAAAGCGCTTGTTATTTTATGATAAGTCTTTCAACGTTAAAACATTTTTTACGCGCTAATTAAAGAAGTATTAGTAAAACAACATTGCTTACCAATGTCTTAACGTCCTAATTTCATTTTTAACTCCACCATCCATGCAATTTTATGTATTTTAATTTTTAACCCTAATTTACTTTAATGTTTATGATAATTTAGCGTAAATTTTCCCGTTTTCTAAAAGATTACTCATATTATAAAAATTCACAAAGAAACAAATCACATTAATATTATTATACACTTAGATGACTAACATTAATGAATTTATTTAATAAACATTATTATTTTATTATTTTGCACTCCACTCCATCATTCACTGTCATCAATTTTATTGTCCATAAACTTTTGCTGCGTTTTGTTCTATTTCACGCGAGTATGATAGTTTTCACACCTTGTTTTTATTGATAACTAGCAATAACAATATGTTAATGTTAATTATTTGTGTTTGGCGTACAGTTAAGTACCTACTTGAGTGTCAACTATCACTGACACGTTAAACACGCTCAGCACGCACTTTACTCGACAATTACGCTATTAAATAACACTCGAATCGTGCGCACATTGAGACAACACAACAACACAACAGCACAATATGAAACTAGACTAGAATTCGTCAAGATGCGATCACAACATTCGTATATATATAATATTGTCCTATTAATTTCGATCAGATCGAAGTCACGTGGATTTTCTCGTCGCGTTTGAATTCCATACAAATTAACAATACCACTGTTAAATTTTATTCACTCGTGTTGACTTTCTTTCGATATGATTTTGTAAGATTTACACGCAGTTTATTTATCCGGTGTTATCAATGAATTAATCTGTTGTTTTGCGCGTCGTTGGGTGTTTTATTTTCGCGTGTATCATTAGAGCGCGCCGCGTGTAATAGACGTGAGTTTTTCACACGCGTGGATCTACGTGTTGAGCGACGGCGGCAACGACGGCGGCGGTTGGATGCGAACAGCGGACGAGAATCGCTTCTCCCGTCGGCGTACCGACGCCGAATCCGCCAACGCGCACATTTCCCGAAGCGGCGAGACGCACGCCCGATAATTTTACCAAACGTAAATTCGGAAAAATTTACACCTTGTATCGCTTAAAAGTTTTCAACTTTATATGCATACAAAATGTTGTTTTGGTTGCCTAAAACGCAAATTAAACATATTTGTGTTTAATTGCGTGAAAAAGGTAATTAAAATCAATTCAAATCGTTTAATACATCACTAAAGCTTTAAATAATTAATTAAAGTGATTGAAATGTAAAATTTACCTATTTTAAAACATACCAGAACATGCAAATTACATTTGTGGTTGTAAATTTATAAATGATTGAAAATGTTTGCTTTATTACGAAACTATAGCAACTAAATGTACATTGCGTGATTGTGTACAACAACAAAATAATGTTATATGGTATACAACACTTTAAATAATTTAGAGTCATAAATGCAATCAATTACTGTTAAAATAAGCTTTAGTTTGCTGTTGTAAGCGCATGAGTAAAAATGTACACATATCACTTGACAACATGGCGCAAGGGCCGATATACGAAAAAAATATTCTTTATTGTTAAATCTTTTCTGCAAAATACAACATTCCAATGTTATCATTATCTAGTCGATCCACAACTGCATTGGCTTGAAAGGATATTTTGGTTTTGTTGTATTGCACTTGTTTCGGTAAGTTAGTAAGTTTACATCCATTTTAATAGCTTTAAAACACTCATTTGTGACATGTGTTGCATATGTCACGTAAAATTGGGCCATACTTGTAATATTAGTTCCAGTATTTGTTTCAAAAAGACGTTTGTGCTCATTTTCAAGATAGAAGTTTACTTTTAAAATATACAGTGGTTTTATTAGTTATATTATCATAACTATTGGTACTGATTTTGTCATTACATTTGTAATTTTTTGACACATATATTGATAATAGTTTATTAAGTAACAAGGGCGCTAATCGTCACTTTAGCCACGAGTCTCGAAATCGTGAAAAAAGTGGTGCTTTGAAGGTGGAAGTAGATAAAATATTTATTTTTGTGTTTTTAATATAAAGTGTGATAAGTCCGATGTTCGGATAATGGTCCTATGTTTTTGTTCATTTTTAATTCTGCATGTTTTTGTATGGTCGGTTTTACAAAGCATATTGAAAAGTATTGAATTTTAGGTAGTATTTCCTTTTATTCTAATGACAAAATTCAATCAAATTCAATTAATCATTCTAAACCTAAATAATATAAAGTATCCAAATTTGAGTTTGTTTGTTTATATTTAGTCATTTTTAATGACGAGTTAAGCACATAATAGGTATATCCAAGAAACAAGAAAAAAATTAGATTACTTTTTAACGCAGACGAAATTGTTGGCAATAACTGGTTAGTATCTATTTATTTTTATTTTTTAAATTTTATTTTAAGAGTTATGGTATCCTCTTGATGATGCGCTCTGTAGCCAACTACAAAACAAAACCAATCAACCTTACAGTGGATACAAACTACATCAACTGGTTAAGTGCTTACCCAGCAGTAGTCGTTTGTGAAAAGAGCGAAGAACTCGCATATTACGCAAATCTACGCACATACATTCCATCCACCTCAAAAGTCAATGACTCAGATTTATTCAAATACGTCAAAGAATTGATATTTTTTGATGGCACCCTCACAATGCTTAGAGATTGTCAATCTAGAGAAAAATTTGTAACCGAACCTAGTGATAAACCAAGCCTCAGAGACTGGCAGGAAGAAAAAGATGCGTGTGATATATTCAAAGATGATGTTATTAAATATCAACAACTAAGACGATCATGCGATGATATTTTCTTCAAATGCTCGTGGAATGATAAAGAGTTTAAATGCTGCGAGAAATTTATGGTCATGTCTACTATTTACGGCAAATGTTTTGCATGGAATTCTTTGGTTGCAATGTAATTACTTATTTTCAATGATTGTTTTTAATGCTAATTATATTACTACGAGTTTATTTTAGGAAATCGTTAGAGCCTGAATATAAAGGCACAGAAAGTGATTTGTCACATTTAAAAGTATATTTTAAAGTGACTACAGAAGCGTTTCATTCTTATGTCATTAGTAATGAGGAGCACATCTCACATCGAGATTCTTCTAAACAGCGTCCTTATCAGTTAAAAGTGTTAACATTCCAGGCTGGGAATGTATACGTTCGAACTAAAGTAATTTCAAAATATTTAAGAATGCGCTAAGGAGTGACACAACGCCACCACAAAACGTTCATTATTAAGCAATTTATAACACTTTTGGCTTACGTGATTAAACTGCAAGAAATATTATAGATATATGTCAATATCCCCACAATATAGAGAATTAATTTTATCTAGGTATTGTCTCTTTGCAAATTCTATTCTGATTGATTATATTAAAAAAGAATTTTATGCATTTTATTCAAAAATTACTGCATTACATTTAAAAAGAAAAATGTTACATTCGTAAGGTATTATTACATATTTGTGGCAAATTTGTAACTTTAGTTTTCACTGGTTTCCTCGAAAGTCAGTTAATTCTGGCAACGCCAAACGTGCTAAGCGTTTTTCGCAGAAACGAGCCAACTAATCAGTTGCAAACTTGAGGCTTTTAGCTTAATCTGGAGGAAAATATGTTGCTGTCTGGTAATACACTGGTTTAATTATTTTACCAAACTTTCTTAGAATACCATTAACATAAAAATGTTCAATGTAATTTGAAAAAACTACCAAAGTAATAATATCTTCGAATTAAGTCTGTAAGTCGAACCACGAGACCAGAAACAAATCATAGTCTTTGACATAGTCAAAGTCAATTGCTTTATACTTTCAAATTTTTGGCATAAATGTAACATTACATTTTGTATATAACAAACATTTTTAGTATAATTTGATGCGTTAGTACTTGAAGAAAACGCAAAAGATAGTTTTTAATTAAAAGAGATTTTCAGAGAAAAATATTAACTGTTCAACATTAGTAAATATATTGTGTGAAAGATCAATTACTTTTCAATCTTATAAAATTAAACTTTAAAAATACGGATAAGAACACAAGCCAAAATAAAATAAAAATCCGAGAAGTGGTGTTGTTGCTACGTAGCGTATTCTTAATCACAAAGTTTTTATGTTTTCAATCTAATTTTTAAAATTTTAGACAATGGCAAATGATAAAAGTGTTAGAAACGTACCTCTTGAGGTACGTCAGTGTCGATTTCCCGACGAAAACAATTTACTCCTTTCAAGATATTACAGTTTCGCTGGTTGTATGACAGAACAATTCGCTCAATTACAATTAAAACAATGCGGATGCACACAATACAATCTACCAGAATTTGCAGATAAAAACAAATTCTGTAAAACTTTATTTGATCTAGCGTGTCTTTCCGAAGGACAGAAAACCTTTTTTGAACAACTACGTGAACAGGATTGTATGGTATCCTGCGTGGAATCCGAAGTTATAATTGTCGGAGCGACCAGATCGATGAGTTTTAGTGAATATGAAAAACCCGAATATGACGAGTATAAATCCGTGCTGAATTTTTATTTCTATCCAATACAAATGCGCTATCATCGAAGGGTTATAAGAGATACTGTTGATTTAATAGGTATTAGATATAAATTAATTGAAAAGGTTTTAATTAATTATTTTTATTTTTATAGTGAATGTTGGCGGTATTGGTACTTTATTTTTTGGCGCAAGCATAATTTCTATAATTGAAATTGTTTATTACTTTGTTGTTTATCCATGGAATCCTCGCCAGGTTATCACACGAATTGATAGAAGTAATTTGAGGTTACCTGCTAAAGATAAAAACGAAGTCCTAGCTTATATTGATTTTAAAGAGAGAATGATGAATGCAAAGTATCAAAAACCTTTATATCCTTTTACAAAATAATATTTTTTGCCGCTAAGTGGCAGCACTATACATTTTTGTATCTTTGTGTGTGGATTAATACAGTGTGTGATGTTTGTTTTTGTCAATTATAAATCTTGTTGTTAATGAACCAACATCTTAATTACAATCGATTAAACTGAAATTGATAAGCACGGAACAACAACAAAATGTGTACTTCAACGTTGAACTTCGTGTACTCGTACATTTGGTAACGCCACATTCTATTCAATGCCTTCTACTCTTATCTTCACTGATAGTTTTAATTAACATGCTGTTAATTATCATATCCTTCAACATATGATCAACAACAAGTTATGTCGCTATGATTTTACCAAACACTTTGTATCAAATTTAATGTGTCATTTAATTAATGACACATTTTAACTTATTGAGATTCATACATGTATTTATATTTCATGATGGATTTCATCGCTGGCGGTCATTATTAATTTTTATGTGGGTCTGCTTCTGTGTCGTGATTAGAAGTAATGTTTTCGTAACCTCGCGCCGCGGCGAATAAAAATCGACTATCGCTCGTTAACTTACCCGCTCGCATTAAATTCGACACTTTGCAATGAAGAGCGCCCACAAGCCGCACGGGATTACAAATTAACTCTGGTTTATATTTTCATGCATATTCATACATGGTAAACGTATAAAAATGTAATTTTTAGGTTATATAAGCAGTATATATCAATTATGCATAGGCAACTTAATTTACATGTAAGCAGAATAACAATAGAACTATTAAACCGCTTTGTCATTTTATTATTAATGTTATTAGTGGTGTAAACTGTAAATATTTTTGGTAAATGCGCTGATCCGCTTTTATTTTATCGTTAATAATCAAAATGTTCATAAAGCCATTACATATAATCGAAAACAATGTTGGTACATGTTTGTTGGGTTGCCTCCCACTAGAGAAAAAAGGTATAAGAAACAATCAAAACATGTTTGTTAAAAAGAAAAGCAGCACATAAATATAATGTTTGGCAACGTTGTATAGAGCTGTTGCCGAGTTGATGTAAACGAAAACAAATTTATGCGAGTGAATAGAAATTGTGCTTTTAAAACGTTTTCAATGATATTAATATTCTTATTACCTTTTTATTTCTCGGTGATTGTTATTGCTCGAAACATGATTCACTAAACAACACTTAAGAGTTATGCGTTAATATCACACAAACTGAAAGTTTAAAAGTTGATGTTTTCGTTTGATCAAGCTTTAGCTATCACGTAATCACTGAGTAAACTTTCTGAAAAAACTTTCACGCAGTCTTGAATTCGAGATTTAAGTTTATTGGATGTCTGCACCTTTAGTTTTCCTGTTGACGTGCTGGTTGAAACTTTCGGCGAGTGCAAGTTTTTCCGTCTTAATCCAGTTGCTGGTCGTTTTCACCTCTTCCGCTTGATCCGAAGACATCCAAAAGCATTCGAAACTTCACCGCAAGCTTTACGCACACCTCACCCCAAGTTAAAATTCAATTAAACGTGCAACTTTGTTAACTTAACCGAAATTACACTTCAAAGTAGCTGAATTTATACGAGTTGTGCGCGTGTTGTGAATTTTCAAAATGTCTACTGTTTGTGTTTACCGCACTTTGAGTTGGAACTGACAGCGTTTCAGAGTCAGAGTCAAAGCCGCAACTGATCATTTCATGATCGAAACCGAATGCATGCATGCTTGCCACATGTCTCATCGGCATGTCTCCGACGGCGCGAAAAAGAGGTGTATCGGGCGCAACAAGATGGCGGCCGCGACCCCCGGCTGCCCCCGGGTTTATCGCCGCGGCTCGTGTTCGCGGTCTTATCGCGCTGTTATCGCGCGTTGGTGTGTTTATTGGCTTGTCTTGCTCGACTCTGTTTGCCAGACCGGACTCAGACGCCGCCAACCGGACAGAACCAATAAATTATATTGCATTTGCATTCGCATTTGAACTGACATTCGTTTACATGCTAATTGTGTTGCTGCGGGTGCTAATAATAACTTGCAATGCATTGCTACACGTATAAAACATGGGTGGACTTGCAGGCCAGCCGCACATGGCCGCTAATTAAATTCAACTATTTGGTAAACAAATAGAATCGAATCATGCAATATCGAGTATTACATAATTATTTATTATCTCAATTTGTTATTCTGTTGCGGTATTTATTCAAGTTGATCGGAACATTTAATTTAAAAATCTTGTCATTTGAATTGTTTGCAGTTTATAGTAGGTTAGATTGCGTTTAGTTAGATTAGGTTGTAGTACGAGTGACGTAAGTAGAAGAACGTTACCCTTTTCTCAAAAGGATAGGTTTATGGTGTAACAGCAACCCTTCAATCCGACCCTTGTTTTGCATTATCAATAGTAAATGTAGCTCTAAAATATTAAAATCTAATTGAATTTAAATTCATCAGTTAATGTAATAAAAGATACAAAATTTATTGTCGATTTAATTTTATCATTGCTTCTGTCTTTAAATTTGTACAATGTGAATATATGTTTAATGTGGAGCGCCATTTTTTGTTATGTGTTTAGATGCAGAAATATCAATCATGTTGAACTTTGCTGACGTAAAGTTTATTTAAAATTTATTTAGGTATTGGATTTATTTCCATTTCTTAATTAATTGCAACTGTATCATTCTATTTGATTTTTATTGTGTTCTGGTAATCAATTAAAATATTTATTTCCATTTTTAAATATTGTGTTACAAATTACACAACAGGTGAAAATGCCGATTAAGCGAAAAATGTCAAATATAATATAATTTGTTATGTTTATATATAATGTTTATATAATGTTTATACATTTTATTTAAAAAATAAAACAATCTATTCGTAATTGCATTTTTTAGATACTTAACACCATATTTTATTGTAGCACGCAATGGAGTACTAAAATTATATATAATTTACACTTTAAACCCATAATTCTTACCGCAACATTAAAACTTCCTGTCTTCGTGATTTCCGTACTAGTCGACCCATTTCAACATGTTGAAACTTACTTACTTATTTACTAACAATAAGTTTTAGCGCAACCAACAACTATACTGCATTTCTATGATGCTCAACTTTGCATGCCAATCGGTTTATATCTTGACACGTTCGAAAACACACAACTTATTCATTAAAAGTTAATAAACTTCATAATAACTATTTTGTACAATGTCAAAAACTTATTATAAGCTGATAAACGTTATTTTAATAAGGAATTATAAGTACTCAACATAGTTTTAGCTGAATCCTAACCTAACTTAACTATTTCTAACCTCAAAGTCCTTTAATAAATATTAAACCCGGGATGCGTTTACAAGGAAACTTTTCCAACCCATTTAAAGAGGGTCGCGAGAGGTACAGAGCAAACTCGGCACCTGTGCAACAAACCATGCCACACGATTAAAAGTGTTTCTGCTTCGTGTAACCAAACAGGTTACAACAGTTGAAACTTTCGCAGGTTGGCTACATTACGCCCGCAAACAGTTAATAATCCTTGCGTGAGGGATTAGATCTCAAGTTTGATCAACGGATAACCCGATAACATAATCTATGTTACGTATATCCACCGTATGCACTGGAGACTACGCTAAACTAAATCTAATATTGCTGAAACACGAAAAGTTTAATATACAGCTTCCGGTGGAAAGTAGAACCTAATGTTGGGTGATGGTAAAGAGGAACAGATTAGACAGATATGCGTAATAGTTAAGTGTAGAAGTAGACTCTCTTAGGTGATGACAAGACTTGACTGAGTATAGGGTTGCGAATGGCACGGAAACAGGATCGGAAGTTCTGCGATGGCAGAACCTTTGACTTGCTAACTATTTGAGGTATTGCGAGTCGACAACACATCGGCGCCATTTTATGTCATGAACTTTACTAACAACTAGTTGGGAAGCTAATAGTACCTTATATAGGCTTAGATTATGGTAATCTGTATGTGTTTTTACATTTATAACTTCAGAATAGCATGACAGATTTTCATGATCTATAATTTGTTAGGATTGTCTCCACCTCAAGTAACAGAATAACTATTAAAATATCCAAAATTATTACCTAAAGAATGTTACATAAGAGAGCATAATTATAGTTGAATAATTGAATCCGAAATGGTGCAAAAGTGCATTATTGGCATTTCTCATTTATCTATCATATAAAAATGAATCGCAAAATTTGTTGGTAAGCACTTAACTCAACAACGCTAGGACCAATTTGGCCAATTCTTCTTTTTAAATGTTTGTTAATATTCAAGGATGGTTTTTACGGTGAGAAAAATTGGAATAATTGCCGGGAAAACCCTATAGACAGCCCTTTTCTATAGGATAAAAGTTGGCATTGAGATTCAATCATAGTAAGAGTTAAATAGTTGAATCCGAGATGGGGCGCTGAAGTGCATTATTAGCAATTCTTTACATAATTCATTTTTTTAAAATAAAATTGCAAATTTAATTGATTGAATTGACACATACTATGTCTACATCAAGAGAATAAAAACGAATTGCATTTTTATTAAATACTACCAGGCTTTTATTTAAAAGCTAGTTTTAAATAAAATTGCACGTTACTCATATATTGACGAAATTGACACATACCAAGAATAATTTCTTGGCAAAATTATTTCGATTTTTACTAATAACTACAGGGACAAAAGTTGTGAGTAAAAGCTTGTTATTGAATCAAATATTGCCAAATTTCAACTTTATCAGAAAATGGCATCCAGCGTCAATTCTGTTCGTCTTTTGCATTCATCACAAAAAAATATATTGGAAACGGGATTATGCTGTAAGCGGGAGTATCCTTGAAACATCCGCGGGATCCTGGGGATATACCGGCTTGCAAGTTTCGTTTTGGGCGATTGAGTTTCGAAATATCTCTCAATACGCTTCGATTTGGTACGGCCACATTGATCCTGGCGACTTGGCTACGCACTCGATGGATGTCCTTTCTGCGCCCTCTCATTTTTATGCCATTTTGCGCGTCCTTTTTGTAATAGTGTAATATCGGCTGTTGAAGCGTCTTCTAGTGAATCGTAAGGAAGCGTTTGAGGGTATTGGAAGTGATTCAAAGTACCTACGTAACGTGCAAAGCGAGTGCATCAAGTATGAGGAGCTTTATTGAATTTTCTAAATCGTCTTGCACTTTTATTCTGCTCGGCTTAGTTCAACTAACTTCTTTATTGAAAGTTCATACGTTCGACAATTCATTTAATTTTTGTATAGGCAACCCATTATACAGTAACATAATTATCTTAGTCTATAAAATAAAATCATAACCAAACTTGATAATTATTTTCCTTTATATTATGAAATGAATTGTCAATTTTATAAAAAGAAAACAATCCAAATCATCCCAAAATTCCATTAAAGCAAACTTATTAGCAGGAATTTCGCTTCATCACATGTTTTTAAAGTTTTCTACGCACGTCACTGGTTATATTCAGTGCCATGATGTAACCATGAAAGTGGGTGCAACACTAGCTTGATAAGCGCATAGACTGCCAACATTCAATAGAATGTTTTTGGCATTAGTTTAATTAGTTAGAAATCTTATAATCAATGCATATACCTATATGTAAATTATCAAATATAAGTTACGAACTTCCTTGCTTTTTACTGGATACTGTGGGACAGATGCATGACCAGTGGCGTAGCTATTTCTGGTGAGTCTTAACTCAAGCATGATGCAGGAGCATCGTTTTGCGTCGCCAAAAGGCAAAAGACAAATATTTCAAGTATGTATCATTGATCGTTTGAAGCAGCAAAAATGACATGATCAGTAGCAAAGTCGAACAAAATTGAACCGTAAGCCGAACTGAATGGAATAGAAGCCTGAATGTAAAGAAACAACAAAGGCCGTTGACGTTCGTTTACTTTGTATTTCTTTAACTAAGTCCACAAATCAAAAAGCCATGAACCCAATGGTTGTGTATTCTTGCGCTTTTATGATCACACGCAGTGTGACAAAGAGGGAAACCGTACGGATAAAGAAATTATTATTACACTATTAATGCATCACCGTTGGGTCTTTTTAGTCTTAACGCGTTTTAACTTCACTCATGCTGATTAAGTTTAACCAAGTCAAGTGCTTGATTAATTTGAGTTATAATGCAATTTTCATAGAAAATCACTCGGCTTGTTCAAAATACTTACACGCCTGCCCTTGTAAATTGCCGCAAGTGCTCAATTTTTGCTGCACTATTAATCAGCCCTGTGCGCCTCATGCACTTGACAACCTGGGAAACTTCCACACTGCTCTCGGCGGCAAATTGAATAGTCCTTGCAATAAGTGAAACTAATGATTACCTGCTGCGTTAATCAGCACATTTCGCCGCCGGACACAAGTCGCTCGTTTCGTTAATAAATTTTATTAAAAATATCATAGAGATACAACATATAACATGAAGTTAATTAGTATTTTTCTCGTAATATTCATACATAACAATTGTTAATTTAATTCACTTTAGACATTAATACAATAGTCGACGGCAAACTAAACATAAACGCGGTTACGAAATCAAAACACTAAGAAAATAAAGATAAATACACAGCACTTACAACGAGGATAAGTTTGTGGCACAACCTCGTCAAGCGCCTGAAAATAAATAAAAAATTGAATACATGATATTCATTTAAAGTCTATCAAAGAGATTAACTGCGTGTTTTCTTCCTTTTTCCTTGAGTTGAATAGTACTCGGCTACAACTATGCGTATTATTACTCCTGAATACATAATCTAATGAACCTAATCAGGAATCGAACAAAAACGTGGCAATACATCGTAAAAAATTGCAGTATTACAAGAAATTTTCTGAACTTCACACATTTTCCTTGTAATAACATGAAACATGAACATGCAGGTTAAAGGGACGGGCCGTAGTCACGCGTTCCGTTAGTTGACGGGCTCGGAATTTCGTATTTCATTTGTGTATCTTTTTGGCGCATTGAACGTATATCCGTTTCGTTTTTTTTTTACATTTTTGGCATATTAACTCCTCTAAAAAAGCAATACGTGTGTGGACATTCAACTAACGGAACCGCGCGCTTTAAAATTGCGATTCCACAATTGTTACAATATTTGGAATAATCATTAAGACAGTACAATCATAATAGGGGACGAATTAAACGGTCGACTGTTACGTCGCCAATATCATCTGGGCTTCTGTCTGGTTTTTGTCTCGTTTGCCAGCTGACCCACATCGTCACCTCAAATTCGGATAGGGCGGATATGATATCTCATTATTAATTGGGTACCTAATTATTGATTAAACGCTATCATAAGTATTAATTCATCATACCTCAGTAAATGTTCCTAGAAGTCTCATACAATAAGATACAATTATGTGGGTGCACATGTTTGTACATTTGTTAATCGGAAGGCCTTCAACTCTAATCTCAACTGACTGAACATTTACACAACCAATCAGGTTGGTAGTGTGGGTGTAGTTTACTCCCTATGTAAGGATACAAGACTTCTACGGATAAATATTTGCTAGTATTTACTAAATAACTACATGTAGGCTACATGTGTGTAAGTTGCCGGCTATCGCTGCTCTATCGGTTGCCTAACTTTAACATGTTTTTATTTCGTCGCTAACTTTTTCTGTCATATGTACGCTAGTTGTTGAATACTACAACTCAGAACGATTAGGTATCATTGTAATTATCGTTAGTACAGTATATAAATCGTAACAAAATATCTCTTCGCTTGCTTCGATAGCACACATTTCTCGTTTACTCGTTTTGTTGCTCAAATTCAGATAAAAAAGTAAAAATCAAACGTTACGTCGGTCGCAATTACAAAAGTTATCATCAACAATAATGATAAAAGTGAATCAACTAGTCTAATAATAATATAAAAACGTTTCATCCATAATAAGAATCTTAACTTAAACTTTTTTGATTTCATATAGATTAAAACATTGCGCTTATCCCGTGCTCATTCAATAAATAATCACTTAGCACTCATTCGCCTTCTAGCTGCGTATGTAAAAATATTTTCAATATCTTTGAACCTGCCAATGAGTTCAGGTTGAAATGATGTATAAGTAGCTGGTAAGTACTTAGAGCCTAAATAGCGCGGTGATCAGAGCCATGGCCACGATTGCCGGCCTGCGCCTGGGCTAGAACATGTCACGATTCGACCTGCCAGCCCGCTGGAAACCGCGTACGTTCGGCCGGCGCGCGTTTCGTATTTCGCGGTCCACCTCTAGATCCTCGAGCTTTTGAGTTAGACTGAGTTTCTGCTGCACGGCCAATCGCAGCAATTGATTGAGCGTTTTCTTTTCGTCTTCGGCGGCGCCCAGCAGTCGCTGCAGTTCATCCACCTGCGTTACGTACTCCTCGCAGCGTGCACCAAACATGGCACGTAAACCTATTTATATATAATAAGCATTATGAATATTTAGTACATACTCATAAATAACTCAAATTAACTTACTTGAGAATGTGGCTGCGTCTTCTTTGAGAAGTCGCAGTTCATTACGCAGTTTCATCATCGTTTCAGAAACGATTGTCTTTTCATTTTCATACTTGGCTTTGAGGTTATTCAATGCCACCTCGGCGGTATTCTTATTACTCTTGAGAACTGTGCGCAGAGTTGCGATTTGTTCGCGTTTTGTTGAAAGCAGACTCTTGTGTCTGATTATCTGTTCCTGCAGTTCGCTGATCTCATCCTCACGATCTTTGGTGTTACCTAAATTTAAACAAAATAAATATCACAGGTATAACAAAAATTCAAAACACAAAAAATACAAACCTTCATAACTGTCATCTGTATTCTTAATAAGACTCTTCCCTTTAGTCGAATCAATAGTAGTCTCAATCGCAGTGCGCAAATGTTTGATCTGATCGACAATCGTGACAACATTCTTCGCTATCACGATGCTATCATTCAAGCTCTCCAAGTCGTTCAACGGGATGTCTGATTTCAACTGTTGACGTAGAGCTTCCAATTTGGAGATTTCACCGATTGGTGGAGCAGTTTCAGTCACTAAAAAACACGAAAGATTATTATTTTTACAAATGAATAAAAACCTGAATAATCTTACTTGGAGTTAAAAGCTTTTCATGATCCAACACAACCCTATTCGGTGTCTCGCCATTAACCGTGCAAACATGATGATATAACTGTGCCAATTCTTCAGTAACAGTCTGTAAATGATTCTGGGTGCCGTCAATTGACGATCCCGCTTCACTGGCAAACTGCTTAAGCAGTTTCAAATCATTTTCCAAATCCATACCACGCTGTTCGTTATCAAGTAGTTTGTTTTTCAGATTCGTCACTTCATTGCGGAGTTGAATCGTTGAATCAGAGATGGTGGAGAGTTTCTCGAACTCCTTTAGGTCATGCCTGAGCTGCTCTACTTCCTTCACGGACAGTTTGAACCACTGATGATATTGATTAATCACAGCGCTGAGATTGTTATCGACAGGCGCGACATTCTTATCCACCTTTTGGGTCAAATGTTGCAAGGAATCGACGTGCGCGCTGAGAAGTGACAGACGAGATAGGAAGGTCTGGAGTTCTCCGTGAGACTTTTCGACAATCGCCTGATTATCACGCAAGTTCTGTGTGAGCGCTGCTTTTTCTTTTTCAACTTGATCTAACTGCATCTCAAGCTTTTTCAGTTCATTGAGATGAACTTCAGAGAACAAGTCTACTTGATTACCTAGGATTAAAGAAAACATAAATATATTTGTATTACTATCAATATTGACAAATCACATACCATCGGGTGAAGATAAATCATGTCCGGAGTCATCAGCATTAATATTCGCCTCGTACATCTTCAATCCAGGAAGATCATCATCCTCTGATCCAAGCCCTTGTTCATCCGCCATTCCGCGAATACTATACGCAAGATTACTAATCTTATAGAATGACTGCCTTTTCATATACTGATCCAATTCCTTTTTCAACGCTTTCTTTGCTTCGCGCTCTGACTGTAAACTCTCAAGCGCTTCCTCCATATGTTTCTCAGTTATCTGTTTCAAGTTCATCATCTCGACCACCTCGGATTTCAAAATGTCCATATCTTCCATTAATCGACGATTTTCATGCTTCAACCCTTCGAACTCCACTTGCCCAGAGCGCAAAGCCGAAACCTGTTTTTGCAAAGCTATATTCTCCTCTTCCAACTCCGAATAATCAGTGATTAATCTGGTTTCGCGAAATTTAATCTCTCTCAACTCGGTGCGCAATTTTTTGCATTCCATGTTCCGATCTTCTTTGTCTTTTCCCATGTCATTGTTTTCCTGAAGCATTCGGTCGCGCTCACCAGTAACGCGGTCCAACTCATGCTTGGTTTGCTTGAGCTCATTTTCTAATTCGATAATTTGTTCATTGAGTGATGTTTCCATGGCCGCCGATTCATTGAGGAGTGATTCTTCAGATTCGATTCCGGTTTTTGTTGTTACTCTATGACTAGATTGGAATTTCGCTAGGGCCTAAGAAAATAAAGTATTATTAGAACTGAGAACAAAATGGCGGTAATACAATTTATCATAAAAATTAACTGACTCACAAAAATATTCACAATTTTTAACATATTGGTAACAATTTCGTTTCCAAAACTAGGAATAATAAATACAAGAAAGTCACTGGGAATGAAAAACTAACTTCTCTTCAGTTTATGCCAAAAATTATAGATTTATAATTTTAAAAAGAGAGGGGGAATAAGATTAGCAGTGTAATAATAGTAAATAAATTGCTAGAATTTCCTAGAATTCCTAGGAATGGGTATGTTAATCCTAAGGTATAGCATAACAACCAAAATTAAACTAATACTTACTTCCTGAGTGATGTTCAACTCATGTTGGGTCTTTTCAAACATACCCTCCAGTTCTTCACATCTCTGCTGCAGGGAATCCTTTTCCTCCAGCAACACGAGCCCATATTGCGCCGATTGAATCTTCTCGCTGCAGGCCTGATCGAGCTCACGCGTGAGCCGCTCGTTCTCAGCCTTTAGCACCTGGACGGCGGCGTCGGCGTCTGGCGCACTCATTTTCACTCCGGATTTTTTATACGCCGCTCTTGGCAATTAAATAAAAAGGAACGCACTCGCACTAATTACGAGTATTTATCAGGAACCCATGTATGTATGTAGATAGGCAATTAATTCGGCCTCATTTGCGATTAGCCATTTTCAGGGCGCTCAGCACTGCTTGGCAGTTACTAGGGGCGGCGAGTGGCAGCTGCGGCCCGGGTGTGCTGGAAACGAGGATGCCGCACGTTGCACTCACCGAGAAGCACCGAGATACCGCCGTAGATCGTGGGCGCCGTGGGCAAACAGTCAACAGTCCGTGACATTCGTAGGCAGCTGACGTGGTGAATTTCGTGCTCTCGGCGACAAGGTTTGGACGACTGAATGCACCAGCACTCACACATAAAAAGGTGCATATTCATATACATATGTATAAAATTACAGAATAATTCATTTGGTTTGAGCATTTTCTATACATATTTGGTTTGACATTCAAATAATACGCTTTTAATTTGAAGTAACTTGAAAATTGGAAGTATTTTAACATTTTTCGCGCAAATAAAAATACTTATTTTAAATATTTTGTGTGAAACCTCCTGTGCATGCGCAGTACGAGTAGTGCAGATAAGTACTGGACTTACAAAAACTTAAAAAAACAAAATTTGATACTTATGTTAACGTACTGATCTTAAAATATTGACCAATTATGTAATATTTCTATGTTTTATAATATTAATCACGCAATATATATGGATTTATTGCAATATTTTCATGTTTGATGCTTTCGTGCATCATCGGGTGAAATATGTTGTTCGGACTTGCAGGCTTACGAACGCAGCGGAAGGAGGTTAGCTGAGGCGCTGCTGGCAAATGCTGCGCACATTTCCCTCTCGAAAAAAAGTCCCATGTGAGCTGGTGGGCGATCGCGAGGCGACGTGCAGCGTGTGCGACGATCGTGATTAACATCTCAGGTAAAAGAGACGCGCTCGCATTTGGCGTTAATTCTCACAGCCAGCAGACATTTGCGCGACCGCCCTAGCCCGCCCCGGGGGGCCCGCGCATTATGTCATGTATTTGCATGCTATTTTTAGCGAGCGAGTGCATGCGCGCTACTTCGCGCGGCGTTGCGCCATTTTTAGTATTTTGTTGACTTGTTTATAATAATACGGGGGGCGCAGCGAGTGCGGCTGCGGTGGGTGTTTACGGAATATTATGTGAGCGCGCACTCAGCGAACGCAACCGACGAAAGTTTCCGCGTCGAGTGGAAGTCTCCTGGTCGTAGTGTCGAATGCAATCGTGATGCAATCCTGATTCCCCGAGCGCGAGTGCTGATTTTTCGGCGAGTGCATAAATAGCATACAAGCGCGCCAGTTACGCATTGTTGTTAATTGTGTAATACTGCAATTGTTATGTTTGTGTGATCAACTGCAATCGTAGAGTGCGTGTGGCGCGTTGGTGAAAATCCTCGCACGTTGTTTTGTCAGTCAGTCATACGACCCTAGCGTGCGCTTGTCAAAATTTCTGTTTTTTGTAATTTGTTTGTGATTCGGTTGGTGCACTTGCAGATTCGTCCATACAATTTGTGAAATATGAAGAAAGCGCGATAATAGTGTGAAAGGAATCGCAGCAATGGGTGCATTTTTAGATAAGCCAAAGACAGACAAAGTTTTGGAACATGGTGAAGGTAATTTTATAAATATTCGCGTGCAAATTTGATATATAGTAATATTACTGTCGTTTATTTGCAGGGAATGGATTGCATCATGGCGTTGCGAGTATGCAGGGCTGGCGCGTGGAGATGGAAGATGCGCACATGGTGCGGACAGACCTCGGCGGAGCTTTGACCGACTGGTCATATTATGCCGTGTTTGATGGGCATGCTGGTGCTAAGGTGTCGGCGCACTGCGCTGATCACCTGCTAGACGCTATAGTGGCATCTGGGGAATTCCAGGAGGATGTTTCCAAAGGAATTCACAACGGATTCTTAAAACTTGACGATACTATGCGGGAATTACCAGAGTTGTCGTCAGGTAATTGTCAGTTTTTGATTAGTGACGCGTGATATACTGATATTGTATTTTAGGTGAAGATAAAAGTGGTACAACAGCTGTGTGTGCGTTTATTTCACCGAAGCACATTTATGTAGCGAACTGCGGTGACTCCAGGGCAGTTCTGTGCCGGGGAGGTAGTCCTGTCTTTACTACACAGGATCACAAACCGAATTTACCAGCTGAGCGCGAAAGGATTATCAATGCGGGTGGTTCGGTGATGATTCAACGCGTTAATGGCACGTTGGCAGTTAGCAGGTTTGTAGTTAATTACATAATAACATTTAATTGGCATACGTATTAGTGGCCAGTAGTTTTAGTTATTGACGTATTTATTTGTGCTTGTAGGGCATTAGGTGATTATGTATATAAAAATGTGAAGGGCCGCGGTCCCTGCGAGCAGCTGGTGTCGCCCGAGCCTGAAATTTTCGTGCGCGATCGAGATCACGCCGAGGATCAGTTCCTGGTGCTGGCATGTGACGGCATCTGGGATGTTATGTCTAATAACGAACTGTGCCAGTACATTTACTCGCGTCTTTTGGTCACCGACGACCTGGAAGAAGTTACCAGTCAAGTGATTGACACATGCCTCTATAAGGTAAGTTATTTTTACTGGTGTAACTGAATTTGTTGCTAATTTAGTGTTTTTGTTTTATGATTTATAGGGCAGTCGAGATAATATGAGCATCATCTTAGTCTTATTCCCCGGTGCGCCGAAGCCGACGGCGGAGGCGATTCAGGCCGACAAAGATCTCGAGGCGAACATTCAGAGAAGGATGAAAGGTTGTTTGAACATTCTAACTTGCAATGATATTCAGTCGATGGGATAAACGCGCGCGCGCCACTTTTCCTGTTACCATATACCTGGTCGCGCGTCGCACATTCGCATAACTTGCCTTCATTTACTCTGACTAATATTCTGTTCTGTGCTCAAAAAATTGCGGTGGGTAAAGTGCGTTTCATTCCGGCCGCGCCACCTGCAACCGTTTTTAGTCTAGTCGATTTATTCTAGTCGCGTTTTTTGCTATAACGAAACGACACCGAAACAAAGTTCATTGGGAATACTCAGCAATAAACGAAAAATAAAATTTAATTATTAATAACAATTGTAATCAAACAAGAACATACGTGATAACAAAGGTTGCTACAATTTACACAACCAATTAAACTAAATACGATAAAGAGAGTTAAAACTATCGCTAGTAACGACAAGCAATAATCAAAACAAATATTTACGATGCGTTCAAAAACGTGGGGACACCAAATTTGTTAATGCAAAGTCGGTTTTAGGCGTTATTCGATTTAGAAATACATACAGCACGCCAAATTATTCGCCCACTTGCACTCATTGTTGGATAATTTACTTTTTCTATGAAGTGAATCATTTAATTCACGTTAAACATTTCTCTTTGAAATAATAGTATAATTCCAGTATACTTTAGTAGATGAGTATTTGCGAAGTGAATTTCACGAGTATGAATACTTGAACTTAATACTTATGACGTAACGTATGTGTGATATATGAACTTAATAGGAAATATTATAATAAGCAATCAAGTACAATCAGAGAGTTAAACATGAAACTATAAAATTGATGCAGGTTTAATATGAAACTTAAAAGTACATTAAATAGAGTGTATAAAATGTAGTATAATTGCGAAACTGAATTTATTCAGAGTAAGCTTCAGACAGTTATACTACACTTATACAATATAGAGAAATATTTATTGACCAAAAAGTTTAAATCATAAATAATGGAATGTTTATTGAGACAATATTTAATTACGCCTTATCAAAATCATCAGTTTTTCGAGACGTTAAGTGGATTGTATAAATATATTCTGCATGGTTATATGTAGTTAATTAGAAACGAAATTCGAATCAAAATAATTATCGCGCCAGTATTCTCCGAATCAATTATCGACTGCACCGACTAGCAATAGTTTAATTCATGTCACAATGCCATCATACAAGTTGTGGTTTTGTCCAGATGAATCATTTCATTTGATCGTCAAACATTGATTCATATACTCATGGCTGTCATAAGCTCTTCATATATCATCCGCATTGCTTTTGATTGTTGTCAATCTGTTCTTCCATTTTCATGCGTTTTCATATTGTAGCTTATAAGTTACTTGGTTTGTTGACTTTGACTTGTTTAAGTAATATAGTTGAACTATTTACCTAGTGATATCAAATGATACGAGAACATTAACAGGAAAGAATTAAATTAAAGGGAATTAAATAAACTGGGAAATTTTGTTGATGATTGAGGAGATAAAAACACTGAACGTTTCAATATTTCACATTGCACTCTGGTTGTTTTGTGCACAGCATCCCTCATTTATTTGGTGTGTGTGGTCTCGCTTATCGTTTAGTTTTTACGTTTAATTTTTCAATTTCGGCGTTTTTTCTTTTTTCAGAGATTGTTGAGGACTCTGATTTTAAGGATAAAGTAGGATTCGTACCTGTCTTGTCGCAACTGCTTAGGACTGAGTTTGAGGGCTTACCACCTGGCGGAGGGCTCGAGTCTAAGTAAGATTTTTCACATTTTAATTTTGATTTGCACTTTAACATCAACCCGTGCCAACATTCTTAAAATAACTCGTCTCAAACTTTATTTATAGATGAAATTAAAATTAAATCGATTAAAGTGTTGAGATTTGTACGTTTTTTTACTGAATGTTGGTACATTGATGTCCCTAACAAGAATTTTGTGTTTATGATTTGTTTTGTTTGTGTTTTTTAGGAGGTTGTTCATTGAGAGAACGTTCAAAATGCTCTGTCCAGAACAAGCTGACACTGTAAGTTTAGGTGACAATATTATTCAGACACAGCCCGACCCCGACACATAATTCACACAATAATTGCCCGTTTGAGCGACCGATTGTATAGCAGCAACAAAACGAGAAATAACCACTCTACTCTTCTATATAAATATTCTTAACAACATTCTACCGACAAAAATATCAGCAGCGAGAGCCCATTGTGGTTGGTTTAACATGAGAGAATAAATTAAACAAAATAATTGACTACCAACTAAAAACTTAAACAGACAGGAACGCATCGCGTACTGGAATGGATTGGATTAAAATAATGCATTTACACATAAGGACTAATCGTTTGTTAATTCTAGATATTTTTGTAATTACTTGTAAGGAGAGTTTGTTATTGCAATGCGCACACACGCCATGAGTTAACGCCGATGGAACACGATTTGTGCCATTGGTCTCGTCGATGGGTGCGAAATGCAAACACGCGGGGACGAATATTGTGGACATGGAACTAATACGACTGTTTTTTTATTACTATTATTCTAACCGCTCTAATCATTGTCTTGCGTGCGTCGCGGTCCCGCTGAAACTCGGACAATTTGACAAAAAATCCTCTTGTTGCTTTCTGCGCTTTTGCTCCCCTTATTGCTTTCTTTTCTTTCACTACTTTATTTAGTCGAAATTCATTGTGAAGTTTTATATTTTCTTTATTCCCAGATTCGTTTCATCTACTGTCAATATAATTCTCTCCATGAGTAAAATACCAAAACATAAAAAACAATAAAAAGTATAAACTTTCCGACTATATTTTTCGCTCAATTCTTTTGTTTTGTATCCAAACAACACATAACAAGTTGAAATTGGTAGATCATTGATTAACAAATTTATCTGCACTTTGTTTGCTCGCTTCTCACCGATGTTATCAACTAAAAACTTTTTACCAATTGACTGTTGGCTGTAAACTGAATATCAAGCTTCCTTTTGTTAAGTTTAAGATGAATAACTAATCAAATCCTTCCTGAATAAGAAAAAATTATGTATGTTGCTAGTAGTTACTAACATGACTCGATGTTTTTACGTGTTTGTTATTAACAAATGCGTGTGCAACTAGATAAACGATTTATTTACAGGACTTGGATTATTAAAGTACAAATCGAAGCGCGATCTGCGATCATCCGGACGCCTCGACGACAAAATGGTTCCATTAAATTTAATTACACTCCCAACGGATTTAGTTTAATCTATTTTACTTTATTGCGCTCTCCAGCATCATCCATTATAGCTCTCGCATTTATTTATGTGCTAACTCATTTCCGATACACAACACACGCACTCTTGAGTGCGTGGATTTATAACGGTAGATTTTTGATTCGCAATTTATTTAAGCCTAGCAATCATCTAGATTAACAATAATGTGACGATTGTGTTGCGTGTACAAAAAAAATCTAACCAACTAGCAACATGAAAACCGATTGAATGATAGTTGAATAAATTTACAAGTTAACGATTAATATAAATTAATATTGTAAGCATCAGTTCATAAGCATATTGCAAGACGAAGACTATTCGTTTATAATAAAATCGCAGAATTGTTTTTGTATGTTGAACTTTGTGGCACGTGTCGTTGGCGAGTAAGTGTAATGGACTCAAAAACAGTTTTGTAATTTTAAGCAGGAACTAAAGTAGATTGTATTTGTGTTACAATCGCGCATATTGAATAATTATATACTCTATTTTTCAAGAAAACGGAAAACAAGTGACATGCCGATGTAAAATATAAATGTGGTGTACGAACAAAGAGTTATTTGTGCCCAGATTTAAAAATTGCGCCTGAGTTTATTTGTGCTGACGATATTCAAACTTAGAGAAGTTTCAGTTATATTCAGTTGGCAACGCTGCAACTAGTTGTCTGTTAAGAAACGTATAATTAGGGCTTTGTAATACGGAAATTTAGTAATGAAGCTGTGGACTTTGAAGAAATTTACAGGTTTATTCAAATGTTTTTTTTTTCTTAAAATTTGTGTATGTGTGATGATCTTATTGATATTCTATGTTCTTTGTTTGTATGGATAAGTTTGATGTTGTTTGGTTGGCAGCAGTGCGCGCACCATCTGTTTGCTATCTGCGCACTGACAGCTAACGGGCCAGTAAACAGCAGGCCAGTGCGGCCAGTGGCCCAGTACTTGTTATGGCGACCAGCAGCTCGGATGAAAGCACGACGACGAAAGAGTTTCAATTGGCATTGTCGTTAGACAGTGCCAGTCGCCTCAGCCCGGTGCGCCGGCGGTGCGGCATGTGCGGCAAGCCGAAGAAAGTTTTCTATTGCCCCGAGTGCGTCAACAACGAGCACTTTTATTCGCCAACGATAGACAGGTGAATTTACTCTCGACCTATTCCTTCTTCTCGGTTGCTTGTAAACACAGCGTAAACCAACACATAAACCATCTCACGCGCGCACACATACACACCCACGCTTGGCAATAAACAAGGAAGTCAGTTGAATCGAGTCTTGCGAAAATTCAACTGCGATGAAATTCGTGTGTGCGCCAACGAACTGAACGCACCTTGCACGATGTCGTCACTCCATTGATAGTTTAGGCGCATTGTTTTTCGCCTCATATTTGCATTTGTTGATGTCATGTCGTGCAATACAGCTCAACAGTTTGGTTTAATTGTTTGTTTTTGTTTGCCGGCGATAACAATCCGAGATGTGCGTTTAATTTAGCGATTACTAGGCGCTTTCTTGTTGTGTTTATTTTTGCGCCTAAGAGAACTCATTATCAGTCGCGTTAAATAGTTCAAATGCCAAAAATTAAATGCGTCGCACGAAATTTATTGTGTAAATTTGCGTGTCATTACGAAACGATGTAACCAGCGTGTATTATTGCGTGATTAACGTTATTTATTACGACGGTGCAAACACGCCACAATTTGATGCACAAAATGCAAGTCGCTGTGTTTGATGTGATGTTGATGCTTGTATTTGATGCACGGGTGCATGAGTCATGCCAAACAAAAGCGAAGCAATTTTGCCCAGGTAGTTGAGGGGTCGCAAGGGTGCAACTGTCTGCGCGGACATGCCAGACGTGTTGGCATAGGTCAATGTCTTCTCTGGAACAAAAGCGCGCCGGAAACACTTAAAAACAATGAAAAAGCAGCAATAGCACAGGATTATACTAGTTATTAATTGTTTTGTTATTATCTTGTTTGTTTTTTGAAAAGTATTCATATTTGTTTTTGTTGTTTTGGAATTTTAGTTTTTCTAGTTCACAACAAGCTTTGTTGGAACGTAAGCGACTAACAAAACTCTTGGAAGAAGAATGCACTCCATTGATGAGAGAGAAACAAAAGGCTGATCATTTGGTGAGATATTAGTAATCTTTATTTTTATTTTTTGACTTACTTTTTGAAAATTATATAGAAATTTCAAATCCACGTGCGCAAAGAACGTGTAAACAATGTCAAGTTGGCGCTGGAGGCGAAGCGCAAGGAACAAATTAGCAATAAGGAGCGCCTGGAGGGTTTACGCAAAAAGAATGCGAAAATGACGCAACAACTACCCGGCTACGGCAAACATGTCGAAAAGCTGGAGACATACAACCTCAAGAGGCGTGAAGAAGTGCTGCAGAAGCAGCAAGAAGTGCTCGATAAGCAGACGACGCTCAAGCGACGCGTCAAACTGCGCATCCAGCAACTGGTCGAGTATATTTTTCCTATTGAACGGATTCAACCTAGACCGTAAGTATTTGTGTTCAATAATCAAATAAAATGCTGAGTATTTATTTCTTCTTTTGTGGCCAGGGTGAATACCAGTTTGGACTCGGATTGGGGATCGGATATTTTACTGCAGATTGCTGAGGCGGCACAGACAACGTATATCAGCGATCAGTGGGTGTACGCCACTGACGCCTCCAGCGAGCTGCAATATTCTATTGTGGCGCCCACACTTCCTGGTTCTGGTGATTATTCGTCGTATAACCTTTGGGGTAAGTCACTCCTTTTCATTACCTTATTTTATTTGATTTAATTGAATGATTTGCATTATTCTTGTATAGCTGCTCAAAATCGTGACAATGTACCAGCGAGTGGCACCAGCTCGTTAGCGGTGGAGCAAAATCCGGCGTATAGCATCAGCGCTGCGCTCACATACACCGCACAACTGGTGAATGTGATTGCATTCTACCTAGACATTCGATTGCCCTATAAAATGGTGTACAAGGACTTCTGCACGGACGATATGACCAAGCAGCAATTAGCGCGACGCGTTGCCCGACTCAACGCCAACGTTCTGCATCTATGCTTTTCGCAGAACGTCGATCTCAACGTGTTGCAGCCGACGCAGACGCTCTTCAATATTATGAAGATGGTCGAAGCCGAAACCGGGGATCTTGGAAGGTAAGATTATATTTTCAAATTAAATTTTGATTTATTTATTTTATACCAATGTTGTTTTGTTAGGAATGGTCCAATGGAAGTTGACGCTCAGTTGGCTTCTGATTTGGAGAACCAGTTGGGGCAGGACCTTCAAACTGGCAAAGACTCCGATTCCGAAGACGGCGACGTTTTTCCTAATGAATGGGAAGCGGTACGTAAAATATTACTATCATATTGGATAATTTAATATTTTTTGCATTGTGTTTTAAAAAGGTCCCACATGTACCGCATGTGCCCGAGGTGCAGGCCGGGCCGATAAATCTCCAATCGACGCAGGTGTTGCCGCAGGCTCAAGCAAACAGCATGGCCGGGCTATACCATAGTGTCATCTCAATATGGCGTGGTGTCACCAGTGGCAGGTAGTGTTCGCGCATGCGACACGCTTTGTATGATGAATCGCACTTTTTTATATAAATCATACCAAGACATATATATGATATATATGAATTCATATATATGAATTCATGAATATATGAAAGTCATATAAGAGTAATGCACAAAGAAATTAATCCGTAAAACGCTTGCATAGAATCATGTGCGTTTGATTTTTTGGCGTGCGATATATTTATTTAAATTTTATTAAATGTTCTCTTTTTTAAGATTATTACTATTATATACATATTATACGAGATGAGGAATATTAATGTAAGCGAGCGATGGAGGAGAGCGTTGGTCGCGCCACGTATTTATAACTTAAGCTGCGCAGGTTCGGCGACCGTGATACATAGCGTAATTTTAATCGATTTGTTAGGATACGTTAATTATTTTCTCTAGCCGCGAACGATGTCTCTTCTGTTGGCTACTTAGGAATCATATTTTCATTGTGATATATTGAATTATTACATTTAAGGAAGTTAAATTAATACTTGGACTTGTAACGGAACAAGATATATTTTAAATAAATCAACAATTAACAATTTCCACAGGATACTTCAAGTTTGTGTAGTGTTTTGTTCATTTCTATACCAGAAAATGATTGATTCCCAGAACTTCGTTATAAAGAGTTTGCACTGTTTAATTAATGAAACTCATAATAGTTATGAAATACGAAATATGTAAGTTATATATCTGAAATCTACTCAGCATTTGTTCTGTTTGTTTGTGAAATTTTCTGTAAAAATATTTATTAAATTGCCTTTTGTTTTGTTTCTACATAAAATAGGGTGCCTTGAGTCATGCTTTTTTTGGTGCTAGATATATGTAGTCAGGCCACTAACCATGCACATTAAAGTATAGCTTATTTGTTTTTAACGAGAAAAACAAAATTTGTTAAAAAAGAAGGAATTGTTGCATTCAATTCAAAACAAAGAAACAAAAGATCTTAAACTACCTCAATCTGTTCTGCTATAGGTACAAGTACAAGTAATGCTTTGCAATATTTATTCATTTCGTAATTCTAAGCTAGAAACAATTATAAAAGCGTGATTATAAATTTTAATGAAGAAAGCGCGTAGTTTTGCCAAGATTAATAATAGGGACCAAGTTCATTAGTAGAGATTTTCGTTGATAGTAGACAGAATCGGATAAGGTCTGCCACCGATGCCATGAACATCATCGGTGTCTATGGACCAGATCATCAAACCACCTAGTCGCATAGACCTAGCATATTGAACCTTCATTTGAATCGAACGTTCGTTGTCGTAGCTCACGAAGGTGTTACCTTTGCCCATGGCTGGGACCTTATGCTGATTGTCCCATATCTCAGTCCAACCACCCTCCGCTTTCAATTGACAGATCTTAAAGATAGTAATTAAAACCATTTATTATTTAATTGCACTTTTGATTTAAAACCATTACCTCGTTGTAACCCAACATGCCCGCTTCTGAACAGTAGGGTCCTGGGCTTCCAGCAGACGCAGGAATATTCAAATAATTATGAGGGCTTACTCCTGGGGCGTTGAAGCTCCGTCCATAAACAGCAAGACCGAGCACAATCTTATGAGCGGGTGCACCATTAGAGATCCAGTATTTAACAGATGCGTCCTAATAACGTCAAATACAACATGACAACTTTAAAGAAAAAATAGACTTATATTTGCAAAATTAGTTGTACTACTTACAACATTGAATGTATCATTAGAAAACAAAGGTGCATTATGACCAGTTCGCCCATCAAAAGCCCCGTGATAATCGTAGGCCATCAAATTGACCCAATCCAGATGGGCCACAAACGAAGGAATGTCGTACGAGATTCCAGCCGATGTCCCTGTGGCTGGGACAGCAGCAGTAAGTAAATATTTCCTTCCCGATGCGTCAAAAGTTCTCCTTAAAGCTTCGACCATCAAAGTCACGTTTTGCTACAACATTAAGAAGTAATTAAATGGCAATTCAATTAAATTTTAATTACTTTATCATGTGGTGATCCACCCCGTTGAGCAGGATATTCCCAGTCAAGGTCAAATCCGTCAAATCCATAATTCTGAATAAAGGCCAGCGCATTTTGTGCAAAACGCTGACGTAGACCGGCATTTGCAGCAACATGACTGAAAGTTTGTGAGCTTTCATTCCAACCGCCAATGGCTACAAGTGTCTTAAGTCGGGGGTTTTGTTGTTTCAACGCGTTGAAGCGCGCTATGCCACGACTACCGTTATCGTTCCAATCATCAATATGTCTAATTGATCCATCCGAATTGATCCCCACGAAACTATAGATAGCGTGAGTGCATTTGAATGGGTCAATGCTCTCAACAGGAAATTTTCCATTGCCTTGCCGGTAACAAGCCCAGCTTCCATAGTAACATACTACTTTATCTATGTATAAAAGAAGCTTGAATTTGATGAAACTTGAAGGAATGTAAAAAATATTTTACCTGGCATTGTGTATATCCGGATTGGCCTGGGGGTACCGTGCTGCAGCGACGCTGACTTACCACTTACTGACTTATTATTATTATTTATGCGTAATACCAGATTGGTTTTGCATTAAACAGATTAAACCTAAAAATAAGTTATTAGTCACGTTTACAGAAGTACTCAATGATTCACGTTTGTAATCGTACTGTAAACAGATAAAGTGTATGTGTACGAATTGTTGTGATATAACAATACTGAACTCTAAATACTACGAATGTAATAGACAAATATGTTGTAATTCTAGTATTTTTACAGAACGGTATAAGCTCTATTCACGTAGGTAGGTCAGGAACAAAATACTTATTACTGAAAATCGTCTCATTACTTTTGGGCATCTGTAATAAATGAGCGGAAGCAAAAGCGGATCGTGTCATATTAAGCGGGCGCTCTTCGATTTTTTTTATTTTTTACAAAACCAAACTTTTGTTCTTAAAAATAATTTTAGGTCAAATAACAGAGTGGAATCTCCATTAAAAAAAATTTAGGTGATATCTTTTGTCAAATTAAAATAATGTTTTAAAATAATCACTCAGTAAAATTGTGCTCTTTGATAATAAGCTATAGAATTTTTTTTAAATTTCCTTTATAAAATTATTAATTGGTGCCAATTTTGGCGGAGGCGCCTGACATTTTACTAAGTATTTTGAATATTTATGAAAAACTAATAACATCATTGGGTAGAGCAGTTCTTAATTACCCGCTTTATAAAACTTTGCATTTAATATAGCTCTAATGATTTTGTAGATGTCTGTAAGTGTAATGTGTACTCGCAGCGAGACACAATTACCTCACAATGATGCTCAGTATAAAATCTTACAAGGATATCTATTAAAAAAATTACATATTAGATGTATTTGAAACATTTTCTAACAAAATTTTTTTTTCAAAATTTATTTTTTAAGCTAGAGAAAATTGAAAATTGCGAATCCATGCAATTTTTCTTAGGGATGAAAGACGGTCTTATATAGTTCATGAATCCCTCCGGTACGCATGCCCTTTTAACCCACTAAACCCTATAAAAGTGCCTTAATTGTCGATTTAAAAAAAATGGTCTTTTAGTTCATGAACTTGCATTTAATTTCGATTCTACAGGAAATTCAGTCAAATTGTTATATTTTTTAATATACTATAAAATTTTTATAATTTCATAATGTGTTGCCATAAAGTAATATTTAAAGTAGGTAAATCACTCAACAACAAAGCATAACACTGTTTGGCTAACAAACGATGAGATTAAAAATGGAGTTTTTAATCTGCAAAATACTTGACTTTTATAATTAGTAAAAAATCCTTTCGATTACAGCGAATTCTACGAAAAATAATATGTACACACATCAACAACTTGTACTGATATAAAACTGCCTACATGATTATATGCAGGAATAAACTTGTATCGTCAGCATAGTTTCCAGGAAACACCTACACAAACTGAAAGTACTTTAACGAGTTGAATCGTTTTATCACATGATTCGTAATATCAGCAATGATTCTTACTAAAGTATGAGGGAATTGCCAGGATCTAGTTTCAATTCTAGCACACTACTTTTCTACAAAATCAATATTTGCAGTTTGTTTAAAATTTGAAGTTGTGAGAATGAAGTTGCATGGTCAATTTCAAACAACATTTATTGTTCTGGAATATTGTCACGAAAAAGTTATGACAATTGAAGTTCTTGTGATACTCCCTAATAAATTTAGTGTTAAAAGTTTTGTGACAGCTTGATGTAAGAAAGTCTTCTTAGGAATAGAATTTTCAAAATAAATTTTAATCTGAGTCAAGCACTTTACTTTATAAGCAACTTTATTTTATATTTAACATTAATACGAGTACAGCAATATTACTTTCCTAGTAATTCTACCTACTGAGGTGCTGAGGTCTGAGTTCGGTGGGCGTTTAATAGTGGGCATTGGAAGATCCGAAAAAGACTTCGTTGATGGTGGAAAGGATTGGATAGGTTCTTCCGCATGTGCCTAAGACATCTTCAGTATCAATAGACCAGATCATTGCACCGCCAAGATTCTTAGAAGCGGCATACTCGGCCTTCAATTTGATAGAACGCTCGTTGTCGTAACCAACCCATTGGTTACCTTGGTGTATAGCTGGAACCTGTTGTTCCTCGTTCCAAGTTTGGGTCCAGCCTTGTTGAATCAATTGGCAGATCTGACAAAGCAAAACATTAAATGTCATGTTTCCCTATATGTTTAGTTTAAGATTGGGTACCTCATTATAGCCTAAGATACCAGCTTCCCTAGTGAAAGGTCCTGGATTTCCTGCGCTGGCTTGATGACCAATACCATTGTTTTGACCGATGCTTCCTGGGTCGCTGACAGTAAAACTGCGGCCATAAACACCAATACCAAGAACCAGTTTGTCAGCAGGTGCACCTTGAGTGAGCCAATATTGGACGGCAGCATTCTAGCAATGATTAAAAAAAAAATTTAAAAAATTATCTTACAAGAAAGCACAGTTTGTGTGATATTATAGATTAATACTTACAACATTCATGTCGTCGTTATTATACAAAGGAGCATTCTGCCCAGTTACACCATCAAAAGCACCATGGAAGTCATAGGCCATCAAATTGATGAAATCAAGGTTTGCGGCAAACGCAGGAATGTCATAAGACTGAGATGCTGAGCGTTCAGCTGCACCCACAGCAGCAGTGAGTAAGTACTTCTGGCCAGTTGCATCGAAAGTATTCCTTATAGCTTGGAGCATCAAATTGACATTTTGCTAAGATATTAACTTATTTTAATAAAACTATAAATACTTTGACATGTACAAGGGTACCTTATCTTCAGGTACTCCTCCTCTTTGTCCAGGGTACTCCCAATCAAGATCAAATCCATCGAATCCGTGCTCCCTGATGAAACGAAGAGCGTCTTGTGCGAACCTTTGGCGCAAATCGGCGCTGGCGGCGACTTGACTGAATACAGTTGATCCTTCGTTCCAGCCACCAATGGCGATGAGTGTTTTCAGATTTGGGTTCTGGTTCTTCAATTCGTTGAAGCGCCTCAATGCTCCGAGATCAATTTCGTTCCAGGAGTCCAAGATCCTAATGGTTCCGTCGGCATTGATGCCAACAAAACCGTAAACGGCGTGGGTGCATTTATGAGGATCTATGCTCTCAACAGGGAATTTTCCATCTCCAGGGCGGTAGACCGCCCAACTTCCATAATAACACACAACCCTGCCTATCATAAATTCAAAAAATTAAGTAATTTAATTTAACAAATGAGAATATTTTTATTACTTGGTTGGGCTGATGTGGAGCAGGCAATTGCCATTAAGGCAGCCAGAAGTAGAACAAAGCGAGCCATGATTGATTTTTTTAACTGGTGGCATGCATACAGCAACTTGTATTTTTATACTAAAAGTTTGCCTACTTAAAATACTTAGATCCCTACTTAGATCCCTTTTTACATTTGCATTTTAAATTTTAAATATTTTTTTTAGAAATAATTCTTATTAGGAAAATTTTTATCATAATTCACCTTATTTTTTGACAACTAAAAACTTTTATAATATATTCATTTTTCCACACATTTATCTTGCGTTAGCAATAAGTTTTTAAAAACAAAATAATGCAAATCAGCGCTAATTATATCTTAATTGAATATTTATATACTAAAAACATCCGTGTTGTTATGCCACTGCTGAATATGTTATTCTTATCAATAGAAATACACACAAATTATATGCAGTTCCAAATATTTATCAATATTTGAACTTATTTTGAGAATAAATTAAAGAAAATGCGTATTTTGTTACATAATAGTTACCTAACAAAAAATGAAGGAAAGAAATTTTGGAAATATTAGGATAATATAATAAAAATTATGCATTTCAGGCATTACAAGTTATTTATTATTTTTATTATAAGATATTTCATCTTCTTTTAGCATTCCGGGACATTGTATGGCCAATCGCATGCCCACAAGTGATCGTTAAATACTAATCCAGAAGGGCATTTTAACGAGTGGATTATTTCGTAGTTTTGGCAATAATGATAGACGTTACAATCGTCGGCATCGCGAATGTAACCCGCAGTTGAGCAGTCAGTACGATCGTTGCCAATGATTGGCGCTTTAGTGGTGGTTGTAGTCGTTGTAGTAGCCTTTGGTGTGGAAGTGGTAACTGGTTTTGAGGTAGTCACACTGCCGGAGCTTCCACTTCCGGGGTTGGCGTTGGAAGACCCGAAAAATGCCTCGTTGATGGTGGAGAGTATCGGATAACTCCTGCCACAGAAACCGTGAATGTCTTCGGTCTCAATTGACCAAATCATTGCCCCTCCAAGGTTCATAGCAATAGCATACTCGGCCTTCATGCGGATGGAACGTTCATTGTCGAAACCTACCCATTGATTCCCTTTGTACATTGCGGGTACCTTTTGATTATTGTCCCAGATCTCTGTCCATCCTCCTTGTTGTTTTAAAAGACAAATCTGCAGACACACGTTGTTAAACAAATTTCTAGTTGTAAATGCAGTTAAATATTACCTCATTATAACCTAACATGCCAGCTTCCGCAGTGAATGGTCCGGGAGTACCGGCATTTGCAGGAATATTCAAACCATTGTTAGAGCCAAGACTTGCGGTGTTACTGACTGTAAAACTTCGTCCATAAACGGGAACACCAAGCACGATTTTGTTGGCTGGTGCACCACGAGATAACCATGCTTTGACTGAAGCATCCTTAAAAAAATAAAATAGCCGTAATTAATTTATAAAGGGACAATTGTACAGTGTACTACGTACGACATTAAGTGAATCACTAGAATACAAAGGTGCATTCTGTCCTGTGCGTCCATCAAAAGGACCGTGCAAATCATATGCCATCAGATTAATAAAATCTAAATTAGCTGCAAACGCAGGAATGTTGTATGATATATCAGCCGCCGACGCAGTGGCAGCCACTGCAGCAGTGACCAAGTATTTATTTCCCGTTGCGTCGAAGGTCTTCCTCAAGGCCTCAACCATCAAAACAACGTTTTGCTAAGAATTTAAGAAAAACATTTGAGAAAAGTTATTCATTTAATATTAACGAAAAGTTACTTTATCGTAAGAAGCGCCTCCTCTTTGCGCTGGGTACTCCCAATCCAGGTCAAATCCATCAAAACCATGCTTCTGAATAAATGCCAGCGCGTTCTGCGCGAACTTCTGACGTAGACCAGAGTTTGCCGCCACCTGGCTGAATACTTGCGATCCCTCATTCCAACCACCAATTGCAATCAATGTCTTTAGATTAGAATTCTTGTTCTTCAATGCGTTGAAGCGCCTAATCGCGCCAAGATCAATTTCATTCCATGAGTCAAGAATCCTAATGGATCCATCTGAACCGATTCCTACGAAAGTGTAGATAGCGTGGGTGCATTTGAACGGGTCAATGCTCTCAACAGGAAACTTCCCATATCCTTGGCGGTAAACAGCCCAACTTCCATAGTAACACACAACTTTGTCTGAATACACGAACATGCATTAGGAATATATTATTACAGTACCTATTTAAATATTTAACAAAATGGCTGATATGCCAATTACCTACCTGGCTTGGCTGACACGCTGTAAGCGAGAGCCGCTATGGCACACAAGAGAAAGATGATTCGAGCCATGTTAATTTTGCGTGTGATAACGGAATCACAAGGAAATGCTTATTTATAGTAATGCATTGCAAAATATTTTTTTCAAAAGCAAACAACATTAGTAAAATTTTACAGCAACTAATTATAATGTCACGCTAATTGCGTCAATTGCGGTGTTTACAATTTGGGCATAATTGAACGTACCTCAACACGAAAATTCCATTTGTGATAAGTTTGTTTAATAATCATAATTAACACACCTTAGTAACAAGTAATAATTTGTAATTTAGTACGCATTAGATTTATGAGGAAGGATTTAAGAGTTTAGACATGAACTAAAATGATTTTGCACGAAAACGACAATGTTCACGCGGTTATGCAATGCATTGTTTCACAACTATATAGTTTAGCATACAATTTCAACAATGCGTATATGTTATCAAATAACTCGAAATGATATATAGGTCGTATACTTCAATATGTATTAAATCTAATATATTCTTACAACTATTTAAAAGTAATAATATGTTGTCAAACAATAAGACAGAGGTTTCGTACACTTACGGAAAAATTCAAAAAATAGCCTATTCTTCTAATGTCTTTCGATAAAACGAAAATCCTGACTTTAATCCAGAAAAAAACATTAAAGATAGTTTAAATTATCCTTGTGTGAACAGTCTTTTTCTAACGTGGCATGTTCTGACGACAAAGCTTCCATAAAACCGAAATTTGTACAAGTTTGTTGGCTTATTTTTTCTTTTCATAGCGTCGTAGCTTCTCTGCGTGACAACAAAAATATTCGAATTTTATGTAACTTTGACCTTCCATATCGTTTATTTGCCAAGATGACCTCGACGGTAACATTTGAAATCGTTTGTGTTCCCAATATTCCAACAAATTTTTTTATCGAATGTATATAATTTAAGCTCGATTTTTATGATAATTTATATCAATAGGGTGCACAACTTGTACAACCCTTAAAATTAAACGTAAATTCATATTTAGACTTATTCTTACAAAAGATTCAGGCTGAATCTTTTGAGATGAAAAGTAAAATTCCAATATTTGCTTATTTTTTGGTCCCTCATTGTAACACATTTCTCTATAATATTACAAAAATAATCGTCGTAATGCAAAGGTTATACTGCATCCAAAATTGAAATCGAGCGAAAATCAAACATAAAAATAGCAGTCATTTTTTGGGAATTTGAATGTATTTATTAGGCATTAAAACGAAACATCCAAGTTATCGTTTCCAGGTGGAATAATATATTAGTCTTATCAAAAGAAATACTAATCATACACAGATACACATTTTATCAATATTCTTTTCATATATGTATAAATTAAAGTAAGCTTAGATATTCGGCATTATTATCGTTCTCGTCTCGTTCGTAAAAAATAAGCCATATATATATTTTGATATAATGACGTCGCCCGAAGAAAGTCAGTGGCCACATGAATTGCCTAATAGTTTGGTGCAGATCTCGTCACATTCAGTAATAAACATTGACACTATTGGATTCCTGCTAGCCAGTGCCTTCTTGTCGTTGTACCGCTCGCTGAGTTACCACATGTTGTAATCGTCTTCATGGTCGAATGTGACGAAGAAACCGTACAGCGTGGAGTAAACTACAAGGTTGCCAGCGAGGGTAAGGTAGCACGCGCCCCATTTAATGGTGCCCTCTGGATCGGGCGCTCGTGCTAAAACAATGGGCAATGCAAAGGAGCTAACGACGATTCCCATTGTTATGAATATCCCCGTTTCTAGGCATGAGTTGCTGGAACCCTGTCCCTCTGTGTATCTCCTGGCAATTAAAGTTGGAATTGGTGCTAGAATGTAAAATAATACGACGAAAAATGGCCACCATAATCTGTAAATCATAAAATTTAAAATAAAAGAAGCTCAAAAAACACATTATTAATATTAGTCAATAAATCAGCAAATGGGTAAATTGAATGAAAATGATTAAAATAAACATTTGTAATAAAACTGATAATCATTAAAAAATGTCGAATTTTCATGACATATCTAGAACTGTTATGATTTGATCTCTGTAATATAAGTTTCTTACTTCTGAGAAAAAATGTTTTTACTAGAGTGCAATAAAGATTAGTATAAACACTTACCCATAATCAGGTAAGGCACAGGCCAGAATTACAAATGTCATGCCAATAGACCCAGCAAATGCCAGCAGTACCAGCCTGTAATTAACAACAAAGTGATTAAAAATCTTATCTGATAATCTAAATCTTAAAGTAACTTACGCTATTTTGTTTCAACAAGACCATCGCAATAAACGTCGGCAAATCGTTTGTGTCGTAGGAGAAAGCATAAAATAAAGAACACACGCAATTAATTTTATCGAACAATTATCTCGAGTTATAATGTGTTATGTGTATTTTTGGGTATGTTGTCAAAGGTGGTTTGTTTGGTTTGATGGTTTATTACTCACACTTTATTCCAGCCATTGTTATTCGTTTGTTCTAGCTGTTCTATGGTGAAAATGCTTTGTTTATATCTAGTAGACAATCGATTAGCGCATATGATATGACTAATGGGAATTTAAGTAAGAAAATGCATTCCGTATATTTTCTTTTTGCGATTGATTGCTGATTTCAGTTGATGAGTGTTTTTCTGTGGGAGCTTTTTGACAGGTGCCAGTTGTCGTGTAACTTCGGTTACATGTTATAACCTTCGTTAAAAATCGGATATCTGGTTACTTTTCTCAATTGCGGTAATATAACACCATAATACGTTCCTAGATGTCGTCAGTATGCAGCTACTTGCACGATTTGCACTAAATTCAAAGCGAATTACATTTTCTTGGCGGTAACAAGCCCAGTTTCCATAATAACATATCATTTTACAGAACGCTTTGTATGACGTCCGCTTATTATGACGTGTTTGTCAGTTCCCTTCGATGTCATTATAAACGGACTCTACTGTACTATTTTGTCTATGAAATAAACGCGAACCTTTGCGTATACGTGATTAGGCCTGACTATAACGTGCTGCAGCGACAATGCTTTATAGCTTACTGATTTTTTATATAAACGGAATACCAGTTTGGAAATAAACAGATTCAACTTAAAAATAAGTTATTATTCATTTTGTCGCAAATACTAACAATGACTCACGTTTCTTATCGCAGCAAATGTCGATAAAGAGCGTTTCTTTAATTGCTAATATTTCAAAAGAAGGGAAAAGCAAAATAAAAACACTCAACATTTATGATATATTTGTATAAACGTAAGAATATAAGAATTGCTTTTATGATAATCAAGAACATCACGTTATACATAATAATTCTTGATAATTGAATAAAATATTAAGGTCAAGGGATTATACACAACAATAGGTATGCATAGCTCTTGATTTGATAATCATGCCTCATATTAAATTGAAATGAAATAATATCACATATCGCTGTTAACCTTAGGTAAAGAATGAATAATACTCGCTAGTTGTTCACCTCGTGCTTTACACTCTTCCAAAAGCGCTTGCAATGCTTCTTTGTCAGATTCCGCCCTTATAATAGCATCTTTCAAACTGTTGTGCTTTTGCTTACTGCTTCTCTTCTTGCCAACCTTCTTATTCGCGCTCAAAATCTTCTTAATCCCCTCTGAGCATTGATCGTTATACATTCTCAGATCTATAGCAAACTGCTCAATTTTATTCGCATATTCCTGCACATCATTTTGCAGAATGGTCGTCTGTAAAAATATCGTCTGGGCGCTCTTGTACCAATCGCCCAAGAACTCCGCAAGTTGATTATACTGCGGAATACACTCGTTCGCCAACAGTTTTTCCATCCTCACATTCGTCTCGCCAATTTTAATCCGTTCCAAAACATGAAACTGTTCGTCATTGTAACTTAAAGATCTAGTCGCTCTATCACGCACCAAATGTTGCCATGAATCCCGGCTACGATCGACTAAAGTTCTCGCCCTTGCAGGAGCTTTAGTTTCCCAAGGACAACGCACTGCCTTCACAGCCGCTTCCCATTCCAGTTGCAACGTGTTTTCTTTAACATTACGATCGTAAATCTTTTGCACACGAGTCTCTATCCCACTGAGGAAATTTGCACTCAATTCCGCTAGTTCCGACGATAATTCAGTAAACCTGCTATCACGACGCGTTTGACTCAGGGCATTCACCATCTCCTGAGTCAAAGCGTACGCGTTGGTAGTACTTTGATGACTGGAAGTGATTTCCTTCAAATGCGCGCACTTATTGTGCAAAGTTTTGAGATCATTCTTTATATATTTAGTGAAACAATCAACAGAATGCTTCATTAAGTTGGTAGATAGAGAAATGCTTTCGACACGGCGTTTGCACATGTGTCCAATGCTACATGCAGTTCTGGCAACTCCAGCGTCGTTTTCAACTGACACCAAATTGGCAAACTCGGGAAACTTTTGAATATCCATATTAACCATGGCGGAAACATTATTATTTTCTTTGCTGAATAATATTAGTGTTTCCTGATTGTTTGTGCGGACATAACCATCAGCTCGAGTGTTTTCTCCGACAATATCAACAAACAGTGTGTCTTTATATAATAAAATTTGATTATTCGGTTGGATCTCGGTTTGCTTCGCAATGTGATTCTGTAGATTCTCATATGTTTCATCCGGATCGATGTAGATGTTGATACCAACAGCGCGGTTAACATGAAAGACGTTGATAATCCTTCGGCTGAGAATGTTCATGACAGAATCAAAGAATTTCTCAAAAGACCAAATTCTATTTTGATCTGCTTCCAAAAGACCGGCGAGTAGAGGAGTAACGAGTTCTTTCAGTCCTGCACTCAATTGGCAGTTCGTTGGAAGCACTCGTCCCCAGGTTATTGCACCTTTTTCTTCCGTTTGTATTCCAGAAATTACACCACTCTCCTTTCGGGTTGTAATATAATACATTGTTTCGCGGTTACGGCGGCCGCCGTACGGACGAAAGGGAAGGTTACCTAAATAAGCAAAAGGGTAGAAATAATAAATTTAATGTGTAAAATTTAAAAATTCCAATTACCTGTTGCAACATGATAAAGTGTAACACCAATACTCCACAAATCTACGGTAGCTCCAAAAGCCCTGCCTGGTGGTTTCTTCAACACAGCCCTCTCATACATATCAGGATGTAAGTACTCTTCAGTCCCATAGAGTGAATTAAACTGTTGGCCCTCTTGCAGTTCTCTGGCAGCTCCAAAATCTGTCAGTTTGTAGATAGTGCTTCCATCATCACAGATAAACTTCATGATATTCCCTGGTTTTAAATCCCTGTGCACCAAACTATTGTCCCTCAAATGTTTCATGCCAGCTGACAAGTGATCCAACACTAACAAGAATTCTTTCTCATCAAGCCCATATGTGTTTTCTGGATCATCCAAGATATTATAAAGGCTTCCACCAGTACAGAGTTCCATGACAATTACTTTTCCTCTGCTTTCTTGCTCTTCTTCAATTGCCAAAAGTTTCACAATATTTTTGTGGTTCACTTTCTTGAGCACTTCAAATTCTCTCATCTGTACCTCCTGGGGGCGCATATGACTGACCTGGTTGAAGGTTTTTACAGCCACTGGTTCTCCATTGTTCTTATTCACACCCTGGTATACTGCACCAGTGGCACCCTTGCCAAGCACACTTGTAGTGCACCAAACATGATTTGCTGAGCCTCTTAGATAAGCCATGTTAGACTTGTGCTGTAAATAAATATTAAAAGTTGAACTTGATTTTCTAAACTAGGTTTTCCTAGGAAATTACCTTTTGTTATTAAACTTAATTGTTTGTTTATTGTATGCTTCATTAATGTTCAGAATACTGTTCAAAATGTATTAAACTACTGCAACGAACATTTTTTGTATTGCACTACATAGTGTTGGGGTGATAATGATAAAATCTCTAGGTAAATAAACCGAATGATGAAATTGTTTTACCAAATCATAACACAACACGCACGAAGCATCTTAAGAAACATAAATAGGTTATTAACTTACAGATGTTGTAGGCAACTTCTTCAACATATTAACATAACATACAAGAGATATAAACGAAATTATATTATAAGTTTTATTTAAAAATATACTAATTGTAGACATTTACTTTAACACGGATGTAATAAACATTATAAAATATAACAAATGTCAAATAGATTACATTTCATTGGTTTTAGTCATAAATTCAAGTAGTGGAAAATACATATTGTATATTTAGAATTATCAGTTACATACACAAAAAAAAACAATCAATTAAATAAAACAGCTGATAGACAGTATTATTTAATATATTCGGCACTAAATATTTCGTATGAATCAATAAATGTGATATTCATGTAATCTGAACGAGTGGTTTTTGAGTTGCATAACGTGATACTCTAAAAACTGAATAATTTATATAATTTTAAAATAAATAAATAAATAAATAAATGTGTTTTTGCTAGTATAACAAATCAATATCCTTAGTTTTAAAGCCAAAGCATTAAATTATTGGTACATTCATATTGACAGCAACGAAATGTGCCTAACACGCAATTAAATCTACATTAACTTCAACTTGTAGGTCGATAAACACCGGCCTTAAATAAATGTCGAATCCTTATCATTCCATTAGCATTGATACAAACTCCTTTATTATTCTATGCCATTAGCACTTTTAAGACATAACACACTTCTAATAACGCATATATAACACATTTAATAATATCATTATAATAGCCATATATCTGCCTTAAAAACATGAAATTTAAAGTGAATTAGTAAAATTTATTCACACATAAATTCTACGCCTGGATTTGAAACATAAGTTATTTATGCATATAAATTGTGCATGAAATATTTCTACGCGTGCCGTATTTGCGACGGCAATTAGATTAATAGCCAGCACATGCGCGAAAAATGCTCGATTTCGAGTCGCACTTTATCGCCGGTTGGCCGCCTCCACCACCAGCGCCGCCGACCGCCGCCGGCGTTCGCTCTCCCGCTGCCCCACGCCAGTGTACGATCGGGAACGGTTTACAAAGCGTCGCAACTCGCATCGCGTCCGGGCGGCGGCACTTACGACAACTTGCGACTTGCAATCGTATACAATTAAATCGCCAAAAATTAAACAATCAAACAAAATAGGTAAATTTATTTGTGAACGTGAGTGAGACTTGAAGTTGATTCTAGTGGTGTGTTGCACTCAATGCAGCACAGCGGCGGCGGACCGCTTTTTCGGCGATGTAAACAGGTGAATATATTGATCATTCAGCACCCGGCGAGCGCGTGCACGTATCTCGCCCGGCGCCTTCACCAAACAGCAGCGCAGTCTTGCAATTTTTACACTTACTGCAGTTATACTGACCTAGACTAACTCACAAAACAACACAATAGCAAATAAACACTATCCACATCAAAACTACAATAATTTCTCATATAACAATAAACCTGCGGCTTTTTATGGTCGGTATTCACTAAAATTTGTTTTATTGACAGTATATAACATTTCCACATGTTACGCATGCAACACATGCCTGTTTGCATCATAAATATGATTATAGTGCATAATTTTCATCCGGTGCTGTTGTTGTCAACCTGGCGGCGGCTGGGTCGATGAATAAACTTTACATTTTGCACCCGCGCTGCACTTGTATCCTGTATCTGTACCCACAGGTACTTGAGTATTTATAATCGCAGCAAACAAACTCATCGTGTTCGAGCGACCCGGGTGGAAAAGCGGTGCGGCGCCGGAGCGTGTAAATAAATAATAAATCAATAGGAAGTCAAAGACGGGCATATTCACGCTTTTCACATTAGGATAGGATTGCAAGGCAAGCGAGTAAACAAAACTAATTATTAATACGTCCACGGCGGAATGAATGGGGACTACACCAACGACCACACTCAAAACCGAAGAATGAAAACGTTGTTTTGTTGTTTTGACGTCTTGAACATTCATTGTTTGAATTATTCATATTAAATTATATCATTATTGATGTTTGAACAGTATTTTGATGAAATAATTAGAAATAACATCATTTGCATTGATCTACAATGGTTTTGCTCTTTTGTTTAACAACAATAACGTTTTTATTTTACTTTCTAGAAAGACTGTTGTTTATTTCAAATAATTAAATAGAAACGTAATTTTACGTTTTGATAGTGAGGGTTTCCCTCAAAGTTTAGGTACTTAATTCCCTAAACAAGTCTAAAGAAGCGATGTTGAGATAGTAATCTTCTACAAGAGTCTGCACTTAGATTTCATTAAATAGTACAAGTGGAAATTGCAGGTTAAAATTGGTTCTTGTGCATTATCTTGCACAGAGCTTCTAATTTGTTAGATTAGCAACGTAAAAGTTTTAAACTGCTATAAAACATTTCTTTGTTTCTCTTTCATTAATTCATTTTGCTTGTATATATTGTTTTTCTTCTGTATCATATTATTTCAATTCCTTCTTGCTTTGTATTTCTATCTCATGACGTCCCGATGCTCTATTTATCTGGAATGTTGTTTTGGCCCAGTTTGGGTAGTGCACGTCGCAATCGTTTAGCACTATGGCGCAACGTTTAATTAATTTCCCATTCGGTTTGATTAATTAAAATCTAATTGGAATTGTCGAGTGGATTGCTGATTGGTGGTCTCATGATCGTGTTGACGATAGTATTTGCACGTCTGTTTTGATCGCTATTATGCTCTTGTCAGACAACTGGCGGATGTATGGTATAATACAATTGTAGAATATCTATACAGATACCAGCAGTCTCAGCAAACGTTGTACTCGCTCATTAATAAATGTCGCCTTAAATTAATTGAATATTAGCTGAATTTAATTCAGTTTTGATTGTAAGATAAAATTAATACTCTTTATGAAATGTAAGACATTTTCTGCAATTGAAGTTGCTTAACTAGTGCTCGCGTTTCCATCTGCGAAGAATTTAATAAAAAGTGGCATAACTAATTTCATTCTTGTTTCTGGAACTTATGACTGGCCGACTTTAGCAATAATATTCTACATTTTATTTTAATGATATGAGAAATGCTAATAAAATACAATAAAAATATTAATTTTTGGCACTATCTGGATACAAATTACTCGTATATTACAAAACCAAATTTCTTTCCTTGTTTTACACTTTGCAAGTTATATTTTTGGAACAATATGTAGCCTATTTGCTTTTGCTTAGTCAAATATGTCTCTATACAAATTTTTAAAAAATGGTAAAGTGGTTTTTGCGTCATAGCGTCACAAATAACAAACAAACAAACACGTATTTACTTTTATAATATTATCAGCTTTATCCTCAATACGACATAACCTTAGTCATAACCAAACACTGCTGCTTCTTCAACGAATTATCTTTGCTTGAAATTTTTGACATTTTAATATTTATTATATTAGTTATTATAAACGATTACATTTTTTGGGATAATACATACAAATTTTGCTAAATTTACAACAAAAAGTACCTGCTAAAACCCAAAAATGTGAATTCATAATGTGCTATTTGATAAAATATCAATAAATAATATATGAGGAAACATTTTACGTTCGTACGAGTAAATAATTTACCCTGACATATGTGGCGATAATCATTAACGCTCGGCATTGATCACAGTAATTTATTGATAATTAGATTAGATATACTCCATTCCTACAGGTCAAATTATTATTTAATACCAGAGTAATTAAACTTTGGCCACAATAAAATAGTACGCAAAAAATTAATGTTTTTTATATACCACACTACGAGTAAACCATACTAAAAGTTTGCAGGTGACAAGTTATTAAACCAACTTTAATCCACATTCATGATTTCCACTAAACTTTAATACCTTGAATAATTCTAATCAGTAAATTTATTTATAACAAGATTTATATTGGCTTATCCTCGTCGCATTGTATCTATTCGATATTGAGTCGATCTTTTGTAAGCTGCGCGTCATTGTTCATTCGTTTGCTCGCTACTCGTCCCATAAAATATTCATGCGTGAACTGGTAATGACGGCAAGACACAATGGCATGCTTGGCGTTGTCCTTTAATATTTAGGATTGCCGTGATAAGCACTAGTAGCACGAGAGTGAATGATAAGCAAGTTGCGCGTCTCTGTGCATCGAAGTTGGAGAGAGTACAATGTGTTTTGTGTTGATTAAAATTACATCTTGCATTATTAATCATCACTTTGTGTTAACTTCGAAGTTCAGAAGATTATGTTAAATAATGTATTAAGAAATACACAAAGCTTGAATACTCAAATCGTAAAATAACGACAAAAAACCGCCAAATGTTTGAAAAGTTTGGATTAATAAAAAAAATACATAATGTTTCGGTGTTATCAACATATTAGATATTTATCTAAAGCCTTGTAAAGGCCTTAGTTGTTTGAATGTTGTGTCGAAAGGATTATCAACTTCATAATGCTCTGCATAATCCTATTAATGTTTGTGTTAGTATTTGTGTTTGAGTTTTGGAAATTGAATCGAACAAATTTCCGCATGTAATGATTTTGTTGTTTGTAGTTGAACTACATATTGTTGCGAAACTGAAAGTCAAATGCTGCCGGCTGAATGTGTTGGAAGCGGAATTAAGAACTTTGCGTCAAATGTGATTTAGAATTTAATTAACCTCTCAAATTATAGAGTCCTGGCCGTAGAAAGACGGAAGTTGGCGCGAGTCTAGTGCTCGTAATTAACTTTTCGCAGTGCTCTGCCTCGAAATCAAGTGCCCAATTCAATGTTATTAATTTCAAGTTTGAAGTTTTAGTTCGAAATGCAAAGTTCGCATTTCGGAGAATTCACTGAGAATGAAATGACATAACAAATGCAAATGTGGAAAGTTTTGCAGTTGAGTAGAATTGGATGTGCATTTGGTTGCGTAATGTCAAAAAATTTAATGTTACCATTTTGATTACATTCTTTGCAAAAACGGAAATAATCATAATATATATGTATAGAGAAAACCTAGTTGTGTTTGTTACAACATTTATAAAACAAGATGTGATATATTTTGAGAGTTTATGATTTTTTTTGGGTTCATCATCACCCCGAATAGCAGAACAACTAATAAAATACCCACAAGATAGCAAAAATTAAATACGTTTTTACTAAAAACTTCCGGAAATGTCACAAAAGATAATTTTTAGATAAAGTGCTCTCTATTCATTGGGCAACGGTTATTAAATTACTCATTTAATTAGTAAAACAAACAAAAAAACCTTAATTAATTTTTACAGGTTATGTAATATGTCTTGACAGTTGACAGCAGCCATGAATATTGACATCGAGCCCTGCTCGAACAATGACCCAAACACTAATGATATATTGTGATTAATCATTCACACAAAAAATAAAACCGAAAAAAGTAATCAATGTTTTTGCTGTTCCCGCGGCTCAAAACGTAGTTTCTGCTAGCAAGAAAAATAATTGTTTGTGCATTATGTTTATTATTTTGAGAGTACTTGTGTGCCAACAGATAATTTGAGATGTCTAGCAGTAAAACCGAAATAAACAAGCGTATGCGCGAGTGGCGCGCAATTTATTTGAAATATTAAATTGTTTTCATAATATAATCTCCGTTGCTTACTCGAGCAAAATATACAGCTTAAAAATTCCACGCGATATTGAATTTTTTGCGTTTATTTATTTACGTTGTAAAAATGCAAACAGATTAATTCAATATACAAACTGTTGGGCATGCTGAGTATTTACGCAGCTACTTACACTTTTTCATTCACTGCCGAACGACGGCGATTCCAAATCGGAATCAACATCGTAATTTAATGCTTCTCGCCCGCCGGCTTACGAACTTACTACCCTTACCATTACTACCACGAGCTGCCAATGTCGAGGATAAGGATAAGCCCGGTCGTTTCTTTGCGTACGCTGCCTCCATAAATTCATATTACACGCAACTTATTAATTTCCAAACATGCGCAAAAGCGCGTGCGATAAACTTTTACGGCGACGAGCAGCGGTTTACGCGTTCGTGAAATGCGAAAACAAATGCCGAACAAACAAAAAATAAACACATTAAATCAAATATTGTTTATTAGAGCCAAAATGTTTGGATTACTTATTATCTTGTTTCATCAGCCGGGTTTATTTGCACAGTTTTGCACCAAGTTCATTTACGCCTTTCTTTTTTATCAGTTGAGGTTATGTTGGCGCAGTTGGCGTCGCTGTGAGATGAAAACTAGAAAAACATGAAAAGTGTCACTTGTGCGGAAAGCACATCGACGTCGACGGCCACGACGCTTTTTCGTTTTCCGGCGTTCGTTATCGATTCGGTGGTGCGAGCTTTTTTGCTGCACGTCAAATAAAACGCCAGATTTTTGACGAATATATAGCCGAGCGGCTCGCTGAACTAAACGCATTTGAATTTATTTTACCGAAAAGGTTTCACCTTTTCGTTTTCTCATTGCTTTTTTTCATTCTTTTTCTTTTTCTCGTTTTCTTTCTGGTGAAACGTGTGTTTCTATGAGACTATCGGGAAAAGTTTAAGGAATAGCAGAGACTGAGCAGATCAAACATGCATAAGCTTGCTGGCGGGAATTTACAAGCTGCGCGGAGATATATCGCACATAAATATCCTATAAATCCGGATGGAATTTACAGTCGCAATCGGCACAGAGAGTAAACTTGAACGTGGCACAATTTGCCAACTTTCAAAATACGGTATAGATTTCGATTGGAACAAAATGCGTGCAAAGCTTTTTTTTTGATAATAACTCAATTCATGGCGGTTTTTTTTAGTGGACTTCACAGTTTACTGCGAGCATGTTGTAAAAAATAATGAAATCAATGTTGAATGCAACTTTTATTTCGTCGAAACCCAAATAATTGATAATAAATATTTTATAGTCGTGCAAACATAAAAATATGACTATTTTTTTTAAATAAAAAATGTATGCTTTATTCACAATCCGACATTAATATCAAGCATCCATAGTATCTATCTATATACGCAATTATATACTAAACTGAAAATTGATGAAAATTGGGATAGAGATTCAATCATTTCCATTTCTTTAAAATACATTTTTGAATCTTATTGATAGAATCAACACATACTAGGAAGTGAAAAGAAAGTTATAATGAATTATACCTTCTATAATATAAAAATGAATCGCAAAATCTGTTGGTAAGCGCATAACTCAACAACGCCTAGACAAATTTGGCCAATTCTCTTTTTAAAATGTTCGTTAAAGTCCAAGGAGATAACCCCAAAGACAGCTCTTTTCTATAGGATAAAAGTTGGCATTGAGATTCAGTCATAGTTATAGTTAAATAGTTGAATCCGAGATAGAGTGTTAGTACATTATTTGGAATTCTTTATATAATTAATTTCGTTAAAATAAAACTGCGAATTTTATTGATAGAATTGACACATACTATGTCTAGAACAAGGGAGTAAAAACGAATTACATTATTGAAACACTACCGGGACGAAGTCGCGAGCAAAAGCGAGTTTTTAAAGACAACCATAGAGCTGAACTGGTATATTGTAAATGCGAATGTTAGTTTATTTGTTTGTTTGAGACGCAAACATCAATCAATATATAATAATATAATAGATATTGAAGACGGACATTGGATGCTCATTGTCCTAAGAATAAAAAAAAACTATAGAAGCGTAAATTGGAGAATGAATATTTTTATGGAAAATAAATCATGATTGCGTAAAATTTGCTTAGAAACTTCTTAAAACATAATTTATTAGTGCCATAATTATGGTGACACACGGTGTGGGTTTAATCGAATAAAATCTATTATTTTTTCAAAAATAACTGATTAATATGAATATTTCAAATTGTTGTGAATGAAATCTCAGCAAACCGTAATAATTTCCCAAAGTTGTATTGTTATGACTAAAATGTAAGCGTCGAATATATTTTTGGTCCAAAAATACATCCGAATTAATGATTGCGTTATGATATGCATGACAACGCACGAGCCAAAGCTCTGGCAATCGCCGCAAACATGTGCGATTCGCGAAACTTTTGGCAACTTTGCGTCATTTTGTTTCGAATGTTCGACAATTATTTACTCCTCAAACATTTCGACGCGTACAATAAATCATCACGAAATGAAAACAACTCGGTTTAAGTTTAGCCTGACGTAATTTTTACATTCCACAGCACAAAATATGCTTCGCATTAAACTTTACAAACAGCGATCGATAATATTCAAATTTACGAATAAAATGGATTTTATTTCTCTGCGAGTGTGTGAACATGATAACCGATGAATTCTTGTTATTGAACACATAAATCTTTTTGTATTATGTATTGTATTCGGGAAATTGAGTGGGCAGGTTGTAAATCTAGAAAAAAATCAATGTGAAGAGGAAAAAACACGAACATGAAAAACTCCACGTAAAAATAAAAATAAACTACTTCGGACAGATAAAACGACGACGGACACGATTCACGCTTGTTCATTTTGCGCGTTCTATTTTTAACTCCCCTCATCTCCAACACACACTCAAACACATAGTCATTTTAGTATGACCCAGACAAGTTTTTGCTGAGAATTTCGCACTCGCAAAAGTTTGGTTCCTGGTGACAGCGAGGTAGCAAACAACTAAAAACCACCCTCGATTACGTGGGCGTGTGTAAAGGATACCGTTGTTTGTCGCGCAGGAGGCTCAGCTGGTGCACACCGACGCCAACTGACACGACGATGCGAGATGTAATGCCGACGGCGGCGGCGATCAGCGTCCACCCCCGCAACACGCACACCACCGACGATGGACGACGCACAAGGGACGCGCACAAAGCAACACCGACGGCAGCAGCGGCCACAGCCGAAAATCTTCCCGCATAAACGTTAAACAAACAATGGTGGTCAGTTTGTTGTTCTATACATCTATACCGTAGAGTCATGGTAACGTGGATGAAAGCTAATGAAAAATCTCCAAACCCCAAAGTTTCAAGTTTTAATTAAATGCACCACGAAAGATCAAAAAACGAAGAATTTCAGTGGCGGTAAAGAAATGTTTAGAATTTGTTTGGTTTTTGTAGTTGAACACGGAATGGGCGCAAGTGGAAGTGATCGATTTAATTAACGATGGATCGGGGCTTGCATTTGGCATCATTGGTGGACGCAGTACTGGTGTGGTCGTGAAAACAATCATTCCAGGCGGAGTCGCTGACAGGGTAAGTTTTTTTTTTGTGTGTGTACATTGTCACATTTTCTCGTTTCGCTTTTTTATGCTGACCTCGTTGTTCTATTGTGTGTGGTACTATGGCAGGATGGCAGACTTCAGAGTGGCGATCACATCTTGCAAATCGGCGAGGTCAATTTACGCGGCTTGGGGTCGGAGCAAGTGGCTTCGGTGCTGCGACAATGCGGGGTGCATGTTCGCATGGTTGTCGCACGACCCGTCGAGTCTACATCGGTCGATTACAAAGTAAGATTCCCTTTTCCATGGAAACGCAAACAAAGCAAATGCTTCCCATACATAACCTCAATAGATGCCTACCATTGTTGTTTGTTTTGATGTTTTTTAAAGAAGTTGGGAAGTCATGCACCGATCGTACCGACGAAAATCTTGGGTGATCCTGTCGAACTCGATAAACACCTAAATTACAATGGCTACGGCGAATTTTACATGCAGAATCCGTCCAATTCCTATTCGACACCGTACATCTACACCGGCCAGCAGTCGGACGCACAATTACAAGTGAGTGAGCTGAGAAATTGTTAATCAATCACAATACTCTTCACTATTTATAGCACTACAGTTATTTTTATGCTCTGTAGTGCACTCTGGCAAAATGCTGGAAATGTGACACCGGGTAACAGGAAGATGGATGAGTTTAATATCGAATATTCCTTGACATCAACGTCACATTTCCGGTTACCAACCAGAAAGCGCATTATGTCTTGATGTATTTTTTGCTTTGCTTCTGTAGACTATATCCGGCATGGTTGACGTCGTGAGAAATCCGCAGCCCATCGGCAACGTTCCTAATCTGAGCGCAGCCCAATCGCTACCGACGGTGACATCTCCACTGCTGCCGCTTGATATGGCGCTGCGTGAGCCTGACCCGCATCTTCCTGAAACGGAGACGTACGCTATCGACCTCGTCAAGGACGAACTAGGCCTAGGCATCACTGTAGCTGGGTACGTGTGCGAGAAAGAAGAGATCAGCGGCATCTTCGTGAAGAGCATCAGTAAAGGAAGCGCTGCTGATTTGACGGGACGCATTAAAATCAACGATCGGATTACTGAAGTACGCGCACTAAACCCCAGAGGGTTACTTTTATTTCTCTATGTGCAGGTGTGTGTCGTGTGCATATGCGTAAAAATGGAAATTATTTCAGGTCAACGGCTCCACGGTTGTAGGGCACAACAATCATGAAGCGGTGGAAATTCTCCGCAAAGCCGGGAGCAATGTTCGCATCAAATTTGAACGATATCTTCGTGGCCCCAAATTCGAACAGCTCCAGCAAGCCATCCTCGCCAACGAGTATCGACCCATTTCGCCTCCATCACCTTCGGCTTCTTCGCTACCAAAAATTCCTCTGAGCCTTGTAGTAAGTCTATCATAACCTCAAAAAGGTTTTTCATTGTATTATAACCTATTTTTATATATAAAATATTAGCATATGAGTTCCTTGGGCATCGAACCAGAAGGAGAATCGCGCACAAGTTTTGATTTTGATTCGGCCGTCCTACAAGACTACGAATCACCGCCACCCCCAAGCGACCACATCATAGTGGACACACAGAGCGGAAGAAAGTCTGTCCAATTTAGCATATGTAGTCACGAGTCAATTTACGACAAGTGGAAGGACGCGTTCACTGACGACGTGCAGATAGTCGTAAGTTGTACATTTCCACACACTTAATTTAATAATACAACCCAAATCTAAACTCATCCCAATTGAATTACCCTCGAAGCATTTTAGACTCTACCATTTTACATTAAACGCTTCATTGCCTTCCATTTTCTTCGATTTCAGATTGCAGAAATGACGAAGGAAGCTACTAGTGGATTGGGTATCAGCCTCGAGGGTACCGTTGATGTGGAAGACGGTAAAGAAGTTCGTCCCCATCACTATATCCGGAACATTCTACCGCATGGTCCAGTTGGAATCAATGGCATTATGCAATCTGGAGATGAACTGCTCGAGGTCAACGGAATTCAGCTCCTTGGTTTGAATCATTTAGAAGTAGTTTCCATTCTGAAGCAACTCCCTAGTTTGGTTATCATGGTCTGCGCTAGGTTTTCGGTTCACAGTCGAATTATTGATACTGCACAGCATAAAGAAGCATTCCAAGCGAGGGTAAATGAAATTTTTTACGCATTGAAGTATGAGAAGTAATTTGTGGTAAATTTATTGCAGAATATTCTTGCTGGTAGCTTCAACACGTTGATTTCCAGTGATAAATTAGTCAAAGCCAAGTCGGATACATCCATCGCATCGACAGTAGCAAGTGAACCTTGTTGCTCAGTCGGAAGTCGTTCGAGATCTTTAGAATTGATTGCGGGTTTACCAATGTGGAGTACTGATCCTACTATTGTAATACTGCAAAAAGGCGAACACGGCTTAGGTTTCTCAATCTTGGACTATCAGGTACATTATACTTATATAATCTGCTAGTAATGAAAATATTAATGAGTTTATTGTAGGATCCACTAAATGCACAAGAGACTGTGATAGTGATACGCTCCCTTGTCCCCGGTGGAGTAGCCCAACAGGATGGGAACCTGATTCCGGGCGATCGTCTGCTAGCCGTGAATGACGTGGACGTCGAGCATGCCACGCTGGATAAAGCTGTGCAGGTCCTGAAGGGTGCACCCAAGGGACCGGTGAAGATCACGGTCGCCAAGCCGCTTTCCAATAAAGACGCCGGATCCTACCACAGTCAAGTAAGTTATCCGCTTAGAAACGTTGCTGGTTGATTCTTGTATTTTGATGGTGTGCCATGTTTAATGTGTGTGCTGTTGCAAGTTGTGAAATGTGTTGACGCTTGGCATGCGAGTTGCAGGTCGGTTGGGGCCGCGGTGGTTAATTGCATTTGCAAAGTCGCGCCGCGGCTACACGCTCACACACACTTGAACACTAACACAGCGTTCACGCACGTTATCACACGCTGTTATGAGTGTTTTCTTTCTCTCTGGCCGGATGTGACGATGACAAAGCCGGGCGTCGAACGAGCAGTGATTTCGACTCAATGTGCGTGCGTGTGTTTCGATAGTGTATGTGTAGACACGGTTGAATAATATTTAATTGATTGGTGGCGTAGCTGATGCGATCAGGCCTGTGAAAGTAATATCGTCCGTTCAATTATTTTTAGTGGTTGCAAATGCTATTGCAACGCTGGATGCAACAAGTCAACGGCAGTGTGTGACTGTGTTATTCAGTTTCATTACTAAATAGTTTCAAAAATATTATAAACAAAACTTAAATCGTGTAAACACATATCAAGCAAAAGTCGACACGTAAGTAAAATGGAATTGTACGTAGATTTGTTTCAAGAACACGAGAAGCAAGCTATCCGCCCTAAAACAGTGATAATGCTCGTTGGGAAAGCACAACGAGTTGCCTAACAGTGCATTCTTGGAATAAATAGCATAGCTCGATGTTAAATCTAGCATAAGTTGTCGTTTATGATTGTATAACCGAAAATTTGATGTTCCTAAATGTATTATACGACACGCACTCAAGAGTTGTGATGAGTCCTATCAAAATAAAACGTGAAATATGAAGCTAAATATCTTATACCTATATGCAACCCATTCAGCACCTAAATAACTCCAAATAGGTTAGTTATAGCTATTAGTTTATTAATATACTATTAAAAGTTGTGATTAACCTCTGAATACTTTATAGGACACCGAGGACGATCAGACGTGCATGGAGGACTTCCAAGAGTGCATCGAAGAGTATCAAGAATGCCTAGAAGTAGTGCAGATATGTATCGAAGATGACCGATCTCCACAACACTTTCGTCACCCGGTGGTCAAACAACAATCCGATGAAGTGATGAAACAAGTGGATAGCGAACCAGAAATTAGTTATAAAAGTATTTGTGATATAACCCATAGTACAAATAATGGCAGCCTGGGCGGGAAGACACTAATCAAACTAGACTCGGGCGAGAAAACATCTAAAACAGATTCTGAAAAAGATGGCTACGAGACATGCGTGGACGAGTCTTTCTCGGACGAAGTGGCAAAGACTCCTACAAATGCTAATGTAAATCTTAATATCGTCGGGAACTATTATGATGATAACACTGGTATCACCGTGGAGACCCTAGAGATGGAGATTGAACAGGTGAGCAAAGAATTGGCAAAAATATCAAAGAAAAAGGAACATCTCAGTAAAAAAGAAAAGGGTAAACACAGAGGTAGTGCGGAAATGCAGGAATACGAAATGCGAGAACTCGTAGAGATTCAAAACTTAGAAAGTGCAATTACTTCGAATTCTAATCTAAAACAAGAGACGCAATTATCTACGTTGGTTGGTGTACAGACATGCACAGTTGTAGAAACTCATTTGAGGGATGTAAAACCATTAGAATCATTACAAATATTAGAAAAAGAAAGTGTAGACAAAGAAAAATCTAGTAGATTAACTTATCAGGAAGTTTTACCGTGCATTGAAGAGAATAACGAGTTACCTCTGATCACAAGACAGAGATTGACATCTTCATCAGATCCGTGTCTCAACTACGAATACTCCAAATGCGATAATCATATCTGCCTGGATACCAATCCGTCGGATGACGAGTTGAAGTGCTACGATGCGATGAGTACGTCGACTAAAGAAGATGAATTCTTTTTGCTGCAGTATCCGGAAGATTTTAGTGAAAAGTGTCGGAGTGAACCGAATGTTGTCGAAAAGCGACAGATGGCACCTGTTACATATCGATATAAAATTGAAGAGTATTATAATGACATTGATGATTGTTTGGAGGCATATAGGCAAGCCAAGGAAGAAGAAGAAGAAGCACAAAAGGCGCAACCTGTTGAAACACAAGTAGCAAATCAAGAAGAAACAAAAAAACAAAATGAAGAAGAAATATTACTTGAAGATACTTTAAGGTTGCAAGAGGATGAATTGCGGAAACAAGACAAAGCACAAGCTGAAAAACGCATTCAAGAAGAAATAAAGCGCAAACAAGAAGAAGAAGATATTAAAAGACAAAAACTGGAAGCAGAAGCACAAAGATTAGAAGAAGAAAAATTACGACAACAATTGGAAGCACAACGTCTCGCCGAAGAATTACGAAAACAAGAAGAAGCACTTCGTAAAGAAGAAGAAGCCAAACGCAAACTTGAAGAAGAACTAATACGAAAACTTCAAAAAGAAGAAGAGGAACGTTTAAGACTTGTAGAAGAAGCTAGACTAATCAAAGAAGAAGAAGAACGCTTATTATTAGAAGAAACTCTACGTTTGGAAGAAGAAACACGCCAAAAACAGGAAGAAGAAGAACGTAGAAAGCAGTGGGAGACTGAAAAAGAAGAACAACGCATGGAGAAATTAAAAAAGCTCGGCATTGAGAAAATTGATAGCACCGACAAGCAAACAATCAACAATCAAATGAACGCTTCGTCCAAATCTAAGTCGGCGCCGGAGATCCTGGACAACTCGTTCGTGACAATGACTTACGACCCGGGACCTGCGCCATTGACGCCAAGGCGGAAATCCAATTATCCCGACGAGAAGGAATTACGGTATGTTGAAAGCAATTTTAATATTTGTGTCACAGTTGAATCGAGATTATCTAAAGTTTATTGGAGATAGTTTTCTTTTTCGAAGAGGGTTGAATTTTCCGGGTTAGATAACCGGAATAACAAGAAAGAAATTGTGTAACAGCTGTGAGAGCAAAGGAAATGTTTCATTTCGCATGAGTTATTTCCATGGGATTGAAATATGCGGACTGAAAATGTTTGCCTAGTGAAAAGAATAAAATTATAGGTTAAAAACGTAATATCTAGAGGTTATGTTTGCATATTATTAACATAGCCTAATTTTTTAGCAAGTTGTATATTGGTAACTATATAAATTTAAGGTTATGAAAATCCGCGCGCACAATTAGTAGGTTAAAGAGGGTTCAATAAATGGCTAAATTAATTTAACAACTGAATGCGAGTTACAAATCATATAAGAAGCCATAAACAAGGACGACTGGCGTAATCCACTTAGGACGCTGACGGAGCTTGACGAAGCTTGAGGTTTGCTCCTGCCGCAGGTCGTACGCCAGTGCGCTTCAAGGCACCTTTCGGTTTTCAGCTTTTTTTTTTAAACAAAAAAACTTATTTTATCTCGGTTTGTTGGTGAATTTTCAGCGAGAATGTAGTCCCGATGACAGTGCAGCGCATCCTGGACAACAACTCGGCGGTAATGCGAAGCATCGGAGTCGACAGCATGTTGGGCAAGCACTGGGGCTCGCCGCGCACCGTCGAAATCATCCGCGAGAAGGGCGCCAGCTTGGGAATTAGCATCGTGGGCGGCAAGGTCGATCTGCACAAAGAGTCATCAGCGTCGGAGACTATCCTCGGCATCTTCATCAAGAACGTCGTGCCTAATAGCCCCGCCGGACGCGATGGCCAATTAAAAGTAGGAAAAGTTTTGTCAACTTTAACAATTTATCACCGTTCATGTGATTTTTTTCATTCTGTGTGCGTAGACTGGCGATAGGATATTGGAAGTTTGCGGGACGAGTCTAAAGGACGTTAGCCACGAGCGCGCTGTTGAAGTGATCAAGTACGCCAAAAATCCAGTCGTCTTTATTGTACAATCGTTAATTACGGTGAGTAGTAACAAAAATTGATCTCGCCACAAGTTCATTAATCGTGATTAATATACTTTGAAACTAGGATCAGGATATTACGTTGATTCCTAAGGAACTTTCAACACCAAAACAAGTAAGCTTTCAGAACTCTTCAAATTTTTGTATTAATTGTATTTTTTGTCATTTTTTTGCATAGAATAAACCATTGCCTTCACAAAAATCCGTAGACTTTAAGGAAAAAGTTGAAATCAACGATATTGAACCACGACAGCGACAAAAAACTGTTGAATCTTCTGAGGAAAGCGACGATGAAGAAGACGAACGCAATCTCACAGGCAGGACTGTCTCCGCTAAAGGACAAGAGGTAATAATTTTAAAAATATCAACTTTTAAACACGCACATTTTATTTGAAAAAATGTAAAAGCATCAATGCAAACTTTTCAAACGCTCCACCATGAACGAAACTTTACATTGTGCCTTGGATATGTACATATTGAGCAGAGTTTCTTCATATCGAATATTTTTCTCTTTAAACTTTGGCGCTGAATAGATGAGCGGACGTATTCTCGGCAAAGCGTCGCGTAAATTTGACTCCTCCGGAACTGCTTTCGGCGTCAGACCTCTCCAATCATCAACTCGGCGTATCTTTTGTTCCTGTCGCTTGTACGTTTTCATTCCTTTCTTTTTCGTGCGGCGATGGACAAACGTTTTCAACTTGTTAATCTCATATGTAGCTGTGGATCGAATATTTCTTAATGTGTCATCTATTGCTACATCAAGCGGTATATTTGTTTCACCGTGTTGAAGTTGGTCAGTTAGTTGTTTCCGTTGATTGTAGAGTGTGATCAAATTTGCGTATAATTGTGTCATGTCAACATGAGATGATTTTTTGTTTCAACTTGAGTTTCTTCTTCTGGAATATTTTCAATTGGTATGTTTGGTGGTAATGTGAGATTACGGTCAGTTTGGGTCGTAGTATCATTTGCCTTCTGGACTTTTGCTTCTAAACTTTTGATTTTCGCCGCTAAAGTCGTAAGTCTTATAATGGTATTCATCCACTTTTGTTTACGTTGAATTATTGTTTCAATTGGAGAAATCAGGGTTTGAATACTTTTACTATCAAATTTGTTTGCTTTCCGAGGATATATCACGAGTTTAGCATCATCACGCGCTTTATTCATCACCATTTTGATATCATCATCTAAACTCTGATCATCTTCGACGGGATCAATGCTTAAAACGTTGTTGATGACTAGTGATTGACTCTTGTCAAATTTTTTTTTCTGTGGATATAATGTCTTCTCAATAATAATCAATTTATCACGTTTCCTCTTGTGGTTTTTATCAATACACAGATCACTCAAAGAGTTTATTTTTGGGTTATTTTTATGTTTTCGTTTCTCAGTCATTGTAATATTTAATTTACAAAAAATTTTGCACTTACCCTAAAAATACTTCAACTAACAATATCAACGCCTACGTTGTTTCCATTCTATTTATGTTTTCAAACCCGACAGATGTCATATTTTAAATATAACAGAAAGTTTTCACTGAAATGTTGTGTTAGGGTCAAATTTTTGCTCTCCATAAAAACATTATAAACGAGCTTAAAATTGATTTTGATTTGACCTGTGCCTAAATTCTATCAAAATGAGTAAATTAACTAAGAAATCCGGAATCAGCCCAAATCTTATTGTTGGGTCTTCCAAACCACTTGTAGAAGTGATCAGTAAGAAACAAGAACCACCACTTACGATATCTTTGTCGCCCAGGACCACAAGTATATTGGAACCCGTAGTTGGTACCAATGCTAAGGTACCACGTGTTCAACTCAAAACTGGTGATCGCAGGCAAAGAAACAAAATGGGCATTAATCGAAGGCAGCCCAATATAGGCACCAGTACGACTGGCACAAGTGCTGGTGGTGCTACATCCCTAAGTGGTAATAATAATAATAATCTACAGAAGGGTGACATTCGTCTGAAGACCATTAAAGAGGAAGCGGAAATAAATTCAATGACACCACAACAGCTTCATGAATACTCTAAGAAAATAATAGGGAAATTATCGAGAATTCTTCTTATGGCCCAAAAGATTCTCAATGAAGATGATGATATTAAATCGTTGTTTCCTACGAATTAAATAGTCAAATGTCTTTTTGGTAATTTCACAAATAAAATTTAAGTTATTTCGTGTATTCTAATTAATTCTAAATCAAAACGCAGGTAGGATCAGGGTGTTTGATAGTATCTTTAGAAAAAAAAGGGATCCTTGACGTTTCGATAACACTTTATCGACTCTCTGGCGTTCGGCGTGCCGCTTAATGGCATTAGTTTCGCGTCAGCTGTTTGTGTCTCCAGCGGGCCGGCCGTTTGTAATGCGTTTGTTTTGCCTTGTAATTTCCAGATCGACCGTGCGAGTGCCGCCAACATCAAACGAAGCAAGGAGGAGGCCGCCGCCGATCCGGATGAGGAGGATGACTTTGGCTACACGAACAGTGAGTCTGAATTTTTTTTTTTCATATTCGCGCACTCATACAAATGAAACAAAGTAGGAAGAAATAAGAAATCTTGCATGTTGTATGGTTTGCTCGCTCAGTTCGAGTGTTTCGAGGAAGTAATATTTTTAGCATTGTGTATCGTCGACCGCTGGTTCTTGTTCTTTCGCTGTATACTTGTATGAACGTGTGAGTGTGTGTGTCGGCAGAGAGCGCGTGGGTGGTGATATTGATTTTCTGCGAAAACCCTCCAGATTCGCGGCGTGGTGGTGCAAGTTATCTCTCGTGGAAATTGCTACAGCGACGGCGGAGGCCTGCGGAGGCGGCCGACGCGAGGCTCTCCTCTGTACGGCATCAAGAATTAAACTCGTAATGAATAGCGCGGTGCGAATGGCTTGCAGGAGGGCAGGTTACGAAAGTGGTGCAATTTAGTGGGCCTAACGCCGAGGACGATTTAAATGTTTTCGGATTGCGCGATTACCGGAATGCCATTCTATCAGGAATTTACTGCGCACACCTGAAGCAAACTGGATTTAATTTAAATTCTATTGCAAACATATTCATTACTTTGATGCTAGTCTTTTAGGTGGTAAATTGCGGTAAATTTAGAAAAAGAAAGATTTATCATGAGTCCATTTAACTCATCTGTAATATCCGGGTTTTGTATGCTTATCTGCTGAACGCATTGTCGTTGACATCGTCATTGTCATGCGTCGCATGCGGAATTAACAAAGGAAATGGAAGTATTGTACAATAGTTCCTCGCACCCCGGCGCAGAATGGTCGCAATTGTCGATTTTAAAGGCCTACACATGGTTACTTATGATATTATGTTCTACACGAATTTCTTGCAATCGTTTTAATTTCAATTAAATTTAATATTAATAATCCCGTTGTAGCAAATATGGAATTATTTGTGCGAATTCAATGCTTTGTATCATTAATACCATTGTTAACAAAATAGTTATTTCAATAATAATATTAAATGATATTTGATATTCAACTACAGCTTACGTACATTGTGTCAGAAATAAATTGCGTTTTACATTTTGCGCAAAAATGTTAAACTTTGACAGTTTAAAATTTTGAACATGTAACAATAAATACCGTCAAAATACAAAATTGTTTAGTAATCACATCAGAGACGTCATTGATTGAGATTATTTTAAAATGGTGAATCTGAGCCAAAGTACCCTAAACGATTTCGAATCGCTCAAATTGCACCAAATTCCGATCGACTCTCGCGATTGTGGTGGAATCACAGCGGGATGAATCGGTTAGCAAAAAAATCCCAATCATGCACTCTGATTTAATTTCACCCTTCATTAAAACCCTCCACCCTTCGACGCGTTCCAGTGCTTCGATAAATCAATGCTCACCCAAAAAAAGCGCAATTAACCTATTAATTCATTCGTGATTGAATGCGGCACGAGTTTGTGGAATGTTAAAATATGAAGAAAAATGAATATCTGTATTGTGCATATACAAAAGAATTAGTGATGTTAACCTATTTATAACTAAGAACGGTCTTACTTATTTTAATGATCGGTGATATCTGGAAGGAATAATTATCAAAAAATTTTAAGAAAAAAATTGGGAAAGGACATTTTCCTTAGATACAATATTGTGTATTTTATCATTTGACAGCTGATTTCGAAAGTTGTACAATTATACCCTTTAAACTTTGTTCACACGCTACTTGAAAATGTAAGGTTATAAATGTGCTTGACTGGTGGCGCATTGCATTCCATGTGCTGCATTGTTGGTAAATGCGCAGATGCAAGCTCCGCCCCATAGATAATGAGTACAGTACTCACGTGCGAATATAGTACTATTTATGGGTCTAAAAACTGTAAAAAAATTGGCGCTGTATATGTGGAAGTAGGAAATTTATTCATATGCTTATATTATATCCTAACATATATTAAAAATGTTTATAAAAAAGAATTCGTAAGAACAAAATTGTATTAAAGTTAGGCAATAATAATTTAATTTTTAAATTTTTCGGGTTTTTAGATAAGTATAACAGAGAGTTCAGAGTAGAAATATTAATGAAATTTTGAATATTTCTTATTTTTCTCTCCTTACATTAAAACATATCTAAGTTGGTTACAATGTACTAGCGATAATAATATTCCATCATTTTGGCAAGTCTGAGGCTGCAGCCAGCGCGCAATTAGATTTTAATGCCATGTACGAACGCAATTTATGCGCATCAAAGGAATCGATGACACAAATTTCACGCTAATGGCATAACGGCAATTGTGCGGTCGGACGTAGGTACTCGACGCGCCCTGAAACGAATGCCGAGCACAAGCACGTGCCGAAATTTTAGCCCAAAAGTTGCCCCCGCTGAGTTTGCACATTTATTACAGACATCCATTATTCCACCAGCCAGCAATTACGCCATTGATAATTTAATATTGTTCCAGCAAATTCATTCCTATAAAAACATCAAAACTTTAAACACGTCAATATTTTGTATTGTAATTATTAATTAACTCGTGGAGCTTTCGACTTGGTAGGTAAATCAATTCGTGATGCTTGAGTTTGTTACATAGTAAATTTATCTTCGGCTTGAGTTTGAGCGAATTAAATTTTAAATAGATCAAACGGCTCGTAACCATAAATTATGCGTAATCGCTGGCATACACTAGTAGTCGGGTGCTATATATGTGAAGCAAAACAATATCGTTTAATGCGCATGAAAACGCAACCTGGAGAACGAATCTCAGTTTTCACGCGTGTTCCACATGCCACGCTTAATAAAATAATAAAAACATGTGTTCGGTGTTATAAAATGCGCGTAATAAATTCAAATGTTACAACTTTTTAAAGTTCACGTTGGAGATCTCTGAAAAACATAAATATCTTTTTAAGCCCTCTGGTGGTATAAAAATGAGCGAAATATTTAAGGTTATGTTTCCGAACGTCAGCCATTTTCGAATGTTAAAATCGCTAAAAGTTTTGAATATTGACGCAGGTGCTAAACGCTTATGTAAAACGCTTGGAGCTTTTGAACACTTCCAAGCTCAACGCACATTTTCGCACCTTTTGCGTCGTTAGCGGCTGATAGTGGCGCAGTTTTCCGGCCTTCTTCACCGCGTCCGTCGCGCTCACTTTCATCCTCAGCGCGCGCAGTTCGCAGTTGTTTTACACATTAAACTTTCACAGCCAGGGGGGACGCGGCGCTTAACATTTAATTAACACGTTCATTTGCGTATTTTATTTAACGGCCCACGACCCGTATACCAGACTGCCGCATTCAAAAAGACAATAATGGCTGCTCCGCCATCTTTGCCAAATCATATCCGTTTCACACCTCTAACAGCAATTTGATTAACTAAAAAAGAAAAAAGTGCGGCTTTTTTTTTGTTTGATGATTTGCAATTTTGTCGTTTCGTTAACGTCTCTCTCATTCAAATAAATAATTAATGGTCGACATTGTGAGTCCGTTGTGAGCGTGAGCTTTCAGCGGCTGAGGCGTTCGAGACGAGGTCTTAAAAGCACGCTCGTTAAAAGCGCGCTCACAAACGAAAAAAAAAGTAACGTTTGAAACGCCATTGACAGCTGTAAACCGATGATTAACATTCAAGGCGCACATCATTTATATTTCCATGCACGTAACGTTGTTTATCGGTGTGCGGTTTTTATGGATCACGTTTGGATGCTGCGGTCGCATCGACCGAATGAAATTTATTGATTGACTTTAAAGTCAATCAAAAGCATCGCGTGTGTGCCAGTGAAAAACAAAAACAGTTTTGAATGAGGCAAAGCTAAAAGCAAAAACGTGTATTCTTAGTCATCGCAAAAATGGGAGATAATTTCGCAGTATTATGGATAATCTCAAAGTAGAAAGAAAAGAAATTTAAATTTTTTGCTTACAAATTGTGCATTATGGGACATGAATGGCAAGAAAGAAAAAAGCAAAGCGAAATTTAATGGAATCTCGCTTTTTTATTCTCTTGCACGGTGCATGAATTGATTACACGTCGAAATGTAAAGGAAATAATCCTGCAAGTAGCGACATCTGTGATTTCAACTAATTTTTAAACTAAAATTATTTTTTTTATCATAATTTATTTGCGTTTAAAAAAGTAATAAAAATTCAACTTTTGCGCATGAAAGTATAAACAATTTGTTTATTATTCTTTATAATTGTTTACTGAGTTGTTCTTTGTGTTTAGACTTTGATACATTTCATATATTCCGTTTGAGTTTCGAGTCAATTGTTGAAAGTTATAAACTCTAAACAATTTAGCGGACATCCGACTCCGTTTTCTTCCATTCTTCACAATAATACTGGACTCAAACACGGGGCAAACTCACTCATACATTTGTTACTTTTATAGCATTCGGTATTTGCGAGTCTACCTTTTACTTTTCGCGACGTGCGCGTTCGTATTGAATTTAAATATTTTTTATTCATCAGACGCTGCCGCTCGGTGTGCTCGGTGTTCCCGGCTTAGACTTTCTGCGATTCTGTAACTCTGCAGACGAAAAAAACGAAAACGTCGATTCAATACAAATGTTTGCCGTGGAATACACTACAACTGGTCCATTTTTGAAGCACGTGTGCATTAAAAACCTTCGAAAGCTTCTTGTACGCGCGCAGAAAGTCCATAAAGTCAAAGTCTAACTAAATCCGTCCCTGCCGAAGCTGTGTGGGATCCTGTCGCAGCGCAAATTCGAATACAAATGGCCCTCATACTAAACCTCACACTGACGGTCCTCGGATTTTCTTTTTGTGTCCGTTTCCGCGTACCAACGCCGATTTTAAAACATTTATACGTAAAAATTGTGCAAAAAGAGTGGAAAAGTAGACAAGACGCAGAAAAGTTTTATCGCCTATATCGACCTACATTGATATTTGTATATTCTACCAGGTAAACGTGAGAAAGAAAATAAGATAAAAGGGTGTTTCTGGAAGGAGAACACCTGAAAAGGTATATGTAAAGTCTTGTAAAGCATGTGCAGAAAAGACCGAGCAGCATAAAACGA